TGTGAACTCAGATTTCCATTTCTGAAGTGCAGCCATGTAAAAAGGTAACTCCAAGGAAGCTGTGTATCTGATGTTTATAGCTCCTCCATCAATAACCATGTCATAATTTCTTAGGGGTAAGAACTTCAGCATTTTACAAATTTATGGGTGACTTCATAGATTCCAACGGATTCCTTTGTTTTTTCATCATAGTCATTCCAATCCTGTAGGGAATAAGATTTCACAGTGTTAGTCACAGGGGACAGAATGCACACAGACTGGAATACAAACGGGAATAAAACACTCTTCAAAGTTTGAGTCTCAGATACCTGTAGAAAGTTAAATTCTGACAAGTTAGATTAGCAAGAACACCAACCTGAACTTAAATGAGCTTCAGTCTCAGTGTTTATATATACACATTTAGCTGGGGTTCATTTTCTTATGTAGTCCCCAGCCTGTAGTGGACAAGCAGCAGCCATGGCAGGTGAAAGGATTATCTATCATTTACAATACCCCAGTCAGGTGGGTAAGCAGACAAGCAGATCCCTGCCAAGTAGGATACCAGGGAACAGATTTGACCTTGAAATTCCTGCTCACAGCCAAGGCAGATTTTGCAATGCTGGTGTCATTATCCTGAGCTTTGAAGAACAGTGTCCATCTTTTTAAACTCACTGTGCACAGGACAATGGGCAGGGATCTTCCTAGAAAAATCAACTTGACACTTTAATAACCCCAGGTTATTGCTCCAGGTTCTTGTTCTCTGGAATTCCTGTGTGACTTAATTCTTTGTCAGCTGGTAAATTAACAAATCCATACTTCCAAAACAACACTGTTAGTAATGCTGGTTGTTCATATTGATTCAGTTTCTCCAGCTTGGCCTTCCTGTGGCTACAGGCAAAACCAGTCTAGGGTGTATATTTTGGATTAGTGATGTGGGGAAAGCAAGCTAGATAAGCAGTTTTGCTAAAGAAACTAAGACAACATACCTTTTCTAACAAGTTTATGTCATTGAAAGGTGTGCCAGATTCTGCACCTTCAGCAGCAAATCCTGCCTGCAAACACATTCACAGAAAGTTTTTTTAAATTATGTTGTAATGACAAAATAATAAATACGATCATTGAAACACTTAAACAAAACAGCCCAGCACAAAAATGTATTGTATTTCTTTTAAATTAGGTAGAAAGAATGGGCAAGCTCTTTCCTAGTTAAGGCCAGTATAAGGTTGGGATCCTGCCTGTGCATTGGGAAAACTCAATCCAAGCAACCAGAATAAAATGAGGGAACACTGCTCTTCTATTTTTCCCAGAAAAAAAAAAAAGTATTTCCAACTATTCTAAATAATGTTAAACCTTAGTTTCTAAGTTTATGTAGCAGCATCCAATTACTAGCAATAGCTTTGTGTTCAGAGTCCACACAGGCATAATAGCTTCATAATACACTGCAAGGAAAGTAATAGAAAATGTGGAAAAAAGTTAATAGCTCTAGCTTGAATACTGTCAGAATCCAAGACACTCTAGAGAAGGAACAGCTTGTATTGGATTTAGGTACACAAGTGACAAGCAAGCTTTATGTGTAAGGAGGATCAGCTGGCTGAGTGAACAGATTAGTATCCTGAACAAGCATTTCACAGGGGACAGTTCTTCACTGTCATCATTGCTGCTGTTTTTAAAGATTGAAGAAAGGACAGCTCTAGGAAGGTGCTCTGGTTTATCTTCTATAGGAAGAGCTCTCTCATTTTTGAGTTCACAGTTACCAAACTGTACATAAGATTTACTAGTTCTAAAAGCACATTTAAAAATCCCAGCCTCTTCTGTAGCATGCAGGAAGGTTTCTTAAATTGCCGTTTCTAACTACAGAATTTTATTAACAAGTGGATAAAAATAAAAGGTAGCTTCTTCCTGGTTTTCTGCAAGGCATCTACACATGCATTTGGACAAAGAAAATCCCCACTAGTGCCAGTCAGACATTTAGCTGTAAGAATATGCAAAGTAAGCCACATGACTTTAAAATATCTGAGGTTTGAAAGGTTAATTGTGAGTTAAATAAACCAGAATGTGGCAGATCTAACAAATCTAACAACAGGAAAGGCATCTGCAGGGCACAGTGGCCTTTCCATAACTGTCAGAAGCCCTTGTCAAGGGAACTGCTGGGGTGGAGAGGAAGATCAGCATCATGGGTCAAAACTGAGCTGAGTATAGAACAAACACCAGAAAAATGAAAGAAGCCCTGCTTTTGCCACCTGTAGCCATTCACCGGCCATGTGACTGCAATTGCAAACTTCTGCACTAGGTGTAAAATGAGGGTTTATATCAGAGAAACAAAGGAGAGTCTTCCCATAGATTTTTCTTGAAGTTTAAGTTCCGAAGTCTGGCTGCAAAGCTTTCAAGCAGGAATAAACTAGTAATTGTTCTGGAATAAAAGAAAAACCATTCATCAAAAAGATGGACTTCACTTTAAATGAAGACATCCCATGGCATGCTGCAGTGGGGATTCTATTTATATCAAATTCGTTGTAGGACTGGCTTTTTTGGGGCTATTTCTTAGCACAGAATCTTAGACTGAGAGAAGGATAAATCTGGTTTATATTTGTCAGTCTATTTACACCTAATCCGACTGGAATAATAGGTTAAATATAGCAGGGAGTTAAATGCCATAGAGCATGACCATGCATAAGAGAGGAGTCACTGCAGACTGGCCCTGGAAAATCCTTTAACACTGAACCTTGAGGTGCAGAGCTTTGCACCAGCCTCTAACTGCCAGAAATCTTCAGGCTTTGTCTACTCAAGCAACAAATGGAAAAAGGCCAGCGTTCCATTTTTGGTGGCTGTGGTGATGTTAACCCCACAGAAAATCTGTTTGTTTTTTAGAGGACACACACTTAAGTGTATTCATAACCTGAGCTTGATGAGCTCCACAATGCACCAAGGAGCAAGTGGTGCCTCATCTAAGGCTGCACTTTCTCTTTGGCAAAGACTCTCTTTTGCAATAACCCAAGCAGTGAAGATCTCAGATGATTCAGATTAACAGTGAGTCACCTGTGAGGCAGTTTGAGTACAACTCCAAGGTGTGCTAAGTTCTAGATTTTACTGGCAGAGAATACCAGTTGTTTGGGTTAGCTGTTTGCAAGTTTTTGGTTTGGTTTTTTTCTTGAGTCAAATGAAGTAAAATAAGGAGCTGAGAAAGGATGGGAATCTGGGAAGTTCTAAGATGTTCCAGAAGCATTTCAAATAATGTGTATTTTATCACTCTAGTAGAAGTGCTTTTAAAAACAGAAACAAATCACAGATAAGAACTCACCTGTGGTTGAAAGTCAACTGGTTCCAGACCTCGGCATTCAAACTCCACAATTGTTTTGAATTTCTCGCTGTCTTCAGCCTGTAATTGAGTCAGAAAACCATTAGTTTCTGTCTAATAGAGATAGTGACAAGCATTAGTCTAGGAATGGATTGCTTTAAAGGCAGCATTGTCATCTCTGATGCCCCAGGTGACAGCAAAATCCTAGGGCTCATTTCACAGGTGGTCACTAACTAGAATTTCTTAATCTGCCATGAGGAAGCCTTCAATAGGAAACCTAGAGGGGCGTTATATAATCACCTCTAATTTGGGTGATACAGTTCTGTGTTGGTCTTTGAAATGTATCAGATTATTCTACACTTAAGACTGTGCAGGAGTCTAGCAGACAATTTCTGTTCAGGGACAATACCAGCTTTTTGTGTTCTTGAAGGAGGATGATAAAGCAAAAAATCCAAATACTGTTAATGCTTGTTTATCTTTCACTCATTACATAGAAGAGGAAACAAACTTACATTGTAAGGCTTGATTGTCTGACTTAAAATATCTAAAACAAAACAAAAAAAAAAGTATACAAGTGAGTGGCTGTCCTGGGCTGACCTCTGTGATGCTTGCATCCCCAACTGTCCATTTTGTTTATGCTGGATATTAAGTTCTGTACCTTTAAGGGAGCGCAAGGCGAGCACAAGGGGAGGGAAAAAACAAAACACGCAGTTTATTTTGAGAAACAGTGTTTGCTGGCAGGCATGCTGCTCTGGCCTGTACTGTCTGCAGCGTGGTCAGGACAGCGCTCCTTTGCTTTCGTTTTTAGCTAGCTGAGACAGAGAAATTCCCTGGTGTTTTCCTTTTTCCTTGGATCTTTCCAAGCCTGCTCTGGACTGCAAACCCAGACAAAACCTGGGAGCTCCCACCTGTGGCTCGGCACTTTCCAGCGCCGGAGGGACCGAGAAGAGACTGAGCTGCAGCCCACGGCAAGGACTTCCTGAGTTTGCCATCTCTTCCAACAGCGAGAGGTTTTATTGTTAATATTATTACTTTTTTTTGCTTGTAGATACTTTGCTTGTTAAATGAGCAGCTTTTTCCACTTTTCTCCAAGGAAATCTTTCTGGGAACCAGTTGGGGGAGGGGCCCATTCAGAGGTTTTCTCCCAAATTTGCCCTAAACCAGGAGAGTGGAATTATGTCTTCTGTTTTATTCAGCACAAAGCAAGCACTAGGATCTTCTTTCACAGCAATTTCCTTACACAAAGCAAAAGAAACAAAATCAGCAAGCATTTCCTGCAGCTGGTCTTCGAAAGGTAAAATTCAATTTTTCTCCCTTCTCCTGAGAAATTTACACTGCACCATTTTTCTGTACCAATGCCAAAAAGATCTGCTTGCTTTTGTAAAGTAACAATACAGATGAGTTTTGTTCATGCAGAAGCCTGAACTCACCAGGAGGCCTTGCTGTCTCCCTGAACATGATGTCCAGAATGTGCCTGTCATTTCCTGTGGCTCTGGTGATGTCAACCCCAAAGAAAATGTGTGAGAATGTGCCCATACAGTCAAGCACCAGTGTACAAGCGAAGAAATCCCTGATGAAAGCTCTTTACAAACAAAGCAAAAATGTGGACTAAAAGATAAACTGTAAAAGGATGCTGCCTGGTCAATTCATAAGCACATACCAATGGAGTTCTCCCTGGAGCACAGCTTGCACTTCTGCACCATCGTGGCGCTTCCTCGGCCTCCTTTCAGGGGAGCACTGTCCTAAAATGCAAGACAAGAAATGCAAGACATTTTTAACCACTTCAGCTGAGCCACTGGAAACCTCTGCAAAGGTGAGGTAGTTTTTACAATGATCTTTAGCTTTTTTAAAATACTGCAACAAGGCAGCTATTCCTTTTAACTACAGAGATTAATAACTCAACAAGCTGCAATTATCAAAGAGTAATTCTGTTCTAGATTTTAAATAGGGAATAATAGATACTTTTGTCTTAACCAAATAAGCATGCTCTGCTAATTCTTCAAAAAACATTCTTACCATTCAGTGTATGCTAGAAAAAGGGATGATTATTGTTAAGAACAGACAAGTATCCCTAACAAATTTTACCCAGCTTTTTCAGCTTCCAAATGCTGATTTAGCATGCTTAAATCATCTTGATTTACCTAACCTACTCCAAAAGGATTCCATCAGCATCAGAGAACTATGTTACAGGCATAACCTTATTTTGATACCACCTCAAAACTTCTTTTTAAATTAAATATTTACAGAAAAGTGTTTTTAAAAACAGATGTAACGCTTTGTTACCAACTGTCATCATTGTCAATAGCAGTCTCCAAATATTTATTTTAATATGGAACACGACAATTTTCTACATGCATATAGCTACTGAAAAACGATCTCATCTAAAGGGTAAGCTGTCACAGTCTTCATGCGGATACATATGTAAGAGGCAGGTTTGTCTGCTCATTTTTGCTCAGAGGTAGATTACGAGGGGCACACGCACCATCAGCCGCAGGTACTGCCACTTTTCAGAGACTTCCCCGCAGTTCCCACATTTCAGCTGGAGAACACAAATCGGAAGGTTGAAAGTTGTCAATAATCAGGGATTTGCGCCGCTCCCGGCCCCGGTCCCTCGGCCCCGCACCTTGAGGTACCATCGGAAGTCCTGGCCCTCGGCCCGCAGCCGGGTGATGTTCTCCAGCGTGGCGCGGAGCTGCAGCCCGATCCTCTGCAAGGCAAGCGGCGGAGCGCCGTCAGCCCCGGCCGGCGCGCCTCCCCGCTACCCTCACGCAGGGCTCCGGCCAAAGCTCGCCTCTACCCCCATGGCCCGCGGGGCACCGGCCAAAGCTCTCACCTACCCCCATGGCCCGCGGGGCACCGGCCAAAGCTCTCACCTACCCCCATGGCCGCGCGGAGTCTGTCGAATTCCCTGCTCCCCGCAGCCGTGTCCTCAAACAAGATGGCTGCTCCGCGCAGCAGAGCGAAACCGCGTCTGCCCTCAGCCGAGATGGCGGCCGCCACTGCCCCTCCGCGCGGAACGGCGGGCGGTGTCTGTGGGGAAGGGTAGCGGGGGGCACCGGCGTTTTCAACATTTCACGTCAATTAAAAACGGGCACTTTTTGGTTTTTTTTAATCGCAGCGTTTTCTTAGACAACACAGATGTGTTAAGAGAAAGCAAAAGCGTGATTTGGCAGCACTGCCATGGGGTCCATGGGGTCCACCCTCAGGGCCTGAGGGGGACCCCTCAAAGTCTTTAAACTAATGCCACACAACAGATCTGCTAGTCTAGAACTGAACTAAATACATTGTAGGTTGCTCTTCAGCTTCTCCGAAACTGAAAGGGACGGTAAGTGAAGATCCTGGATGGCTGCCAGGTGGCCTGTTTACTCTGGAGGCAAGCCAGTAAGCCCAGGCTGGCATAAAGGTGATCAGTGTCTGCTAAAACCAGTTATCCTGGGCAGAGTCAGAATTTGTTCTTGCCAACAGAATACCGTGCTCCAGATAGTAACAAAAGTTTGCCTTGACATCTGGCAAAAGCTTCATTTCAGAGCCAAACCTCATTCCTTTTTCTACTGCAGTACGCTTGAAATATTGTTACTTGGCCAACAGAATATGCAGCCTAAAATAGTAATGAAGTCTTTCCTTTACAGCCGGCTGATATTTCATTTCAGAGCAAAGCTTCAAACCTCGTTCTAGTGCTGTGTACTGCGGATACTGCTGGTATTTTCTGGCAAGCAGGAACTGCAGCCCTAACAGTGGAAGTTTAATTGCTGAGCTAAGGTATTTTGCTTCTCTACTGAACTGTTCAAAAGACGGGGAAACATACACTCTGAATGCACTGTTATAAAAGTGTTAAAACTCAGCCTTCCACCACAGTTTAAAAACACAAATTTCAACTGTTTTATTAGTTCATTAACAGTTTGTAACAACAACAATCAAAAAACCCCAAAAAATTAAAATACAAAAAAATTTCAGAAACTGTAAAGAACTGGAAAAGGATCTTCACATTACTACTTCAAACACTGCAATGCAAACTTGTTTGTTTGATTTAAATTGGCTTAATCTTGAAGTGGAGTCCAATAAGACTGAAGACAAGACACTTAAGATCCTGGACCAGGTAATAGAACACTCTCAAGCCTTCTGGATCTCTGCAGTGCACAACAGAAGGAAGAAAGGGGGAAAAAAATTAAGACTGATGCTCTTAAGAGAACAGGTTACAGAATTAATATATTAAAAAAACCCAAAGCCTATATAAGGACTTTTTAGATGTCATCTTAGACATTAACAGATTTGTTATTCTACACTGATGGATTAAGTATTCTGTACTCCAACTATGAACATTTAAGTCTTTACAAAATATGCATTTTTATTATGAAAGCAATTATCAACAGCACTTAGGATTTTACCCCCTCCCCAAACAGTCAATCTTTTCAGCTTAGGTGAAATACAGGTATCTTGAGTCTCCCCAGGAATTGGTACAAACAGGCAGCTCAGCCTCTGTATGTAACAGGGTTCCTACAGCAAAGTCTGCTCTCATCGACTTTGAGAATGTAAGCCGGGTTACTTAAAATGACCTGAAGCCAAACAGATTACTTAAAATAGCCTAAAGGCAGCAACACAGTGGTGCCCCGAGGAGTTGATGCATACTTTGAAATTTTAAAATACATGTAATCTGGAAATTCTAATACAGATTGATAAACATAGAAACAAGGACAGTATAAAAAGCAGAGTACATACTTGGACTGATTTACATCAATGAGGGAACCGATTTTTGATGTGGTAAAAGAGATGTGCTCGTCACCAATTACTATCTCGAGCTCCTGAAAAATAAAAGGTTATAGGAACTCAGTGCTTCATGGTACCAGTTAGAGAAATATTTCAGTACTGGGATGGACTGTACTAGACTAAAACTACACTGCGATTGAGGCACTTCTCAGGTACTAAAGCAGTTTTGTTTCCCTTTCAGCTGGAAACAATAATGGCTTGAAGAAAAAATTCAGTTATGCTTCCAAGGAGCTAATATAAAAAAATTAAAGAGCAATTAGAAGAGACACTGTGCACCTTACCTGTCGGCCCACTCTATCAGGAGGAGGCCACAAAGCATCATCTTCCTTTGTGATTTCACTGTCATCGATTATCCTCTTCAGCTCCTCCATCACACTCTTGTGCACGTAAGCCTGAACATTCCAGCAGAGCAATAAATATTAATATTACTATAATATATAATAATATATAACATTATACACTATAGATAGCATATATAAATACAATATAAAAATAGAAAACATTATATATAATATTATATAATTATATATAATATTATATAATATATATTAAAAATACATATGGTATACACAATAATATATATACTACATATATGTATAATATATATAATGTATATAAATATTGTATTATGTATAAATATTGTCCACAACGCTCCAGCAACGAAACCCAGCCCCGAGCGCTGCCCTTTGCTGCTGCTCCCCCTAGTCAGTCCCCTTGCTGCTACGTCCGCTCCCTTTGACTGCTTTGTCTGCAGTTTTTTTCTCGCCGACTATGCACTCCTGATTATTCTGTCTGGAGTTCATTTTGCTGCAATCCGTGTACAAACGCCCTCAGCCGCACTGCGCCTTCACCTCCTTTCGAATCATCACATCGTTCTTGTAGTTGCTGTTGTTAGCGTACCGCAGTTTCCCTGTGAGGAGAACGGCAGACATTAACCCATGCCGGGCGTACCCAGACTCGGCAGCCAACCCCCCGGGAACCCGCCCCACCTCCCCCGGCCCCGTCCCCGTCCCTCTCTCACCGTCGGGCCGGAATTCGAACTCAAGGAATTCGTGTCCAAATTTCCCCTTGTGTCCCACATAGTAGCGTAAATAGAAATCATTAGCCATGAGCACTCCAATATGGCTCCGAGTCGCTCATGCAGTTGGCGTGCAGCCAATTGGGTAAACCGGCGGTAACAGCGGAATCGGTGCTGGGCGGCGCTCTCTAGAGTCGACCTCACAGACAACATTGTACAGGATTGGGGGCAGGCATCGAGGCAGAATCTTCGTGAAAGCTCAGAGCAACGCAAGGCGGAGTCAAGTAACGAATCGGGAGATGCTCCTGCTCTCCGAGCTCCAGAGCTTTTCCCGCCTCCCGAAGCTGCTCCTGCCTCAGGACTGAGGAGCTGTCCCTGCCTCCCGGGCTGCTCCTGCCTCAGGACTGCGGAGCTGGCCCTGCCTCCCGAGCTGCTTCTGCCTCAGGACTGCGGAGCTGGCCCTGCCTCAGGACTGCGGAGCTGTCCCTGCCTCCCGAGCTGCTTCTGCCTCAGGACTGCGGAGCTGGCCCTGCCTCCCGGGCTGCTCCTGCCTCAGGACTGCGGAGCTGGCCCTGCCTCCCGAGATCCCGGCCTGCTCTGCTCCTGTCCCCCCCCAGCTCCCGAGCTACTCCTGTCCCTCGAGATCCCGGGCTGGCTGCTCCTGCCTCCCGAGCTCTCAAACTGATTCCTGGCTCCGCATGTTTCCTGCGTCAGAAACCCCCCAGAAGTTCCTGGCACTAAGCTGGCAGAGTCCCAGACCATTTGCGTTATTCCTTAGCGTTTCCCGCCCTCGCTTGGCCAGAGGCCCAGACTCGACGACGACTCACGCGGTACAAGCTGCCTTCCAGGCATACCTCGTTGATTGTGTATGACCAGTCTAACTGGTTCCCCTAGAGAGTTAGAGGGTGTAACCCATGCTTTGTGGTGAGCACTGATGATGGAAGTGCAAGAGCGCTTCTGGTAGTACTCTACACTCCCTTCGGTGTGCTGCATTCCTTCCGACTTAGGAGCGGCCCAGCAGAATAATAAGATTTTTGTTATAGTTAGTGGTCTAGATGCGGATCGAACGCACAACCTTAGCATTACCAGCCCAATGCTTTAATAACTGGGCCATTTGCGAAGTACGGAGTTGGTGCTGAACGAGTTGCAGACAGGAGGTGACCAGGCAGATTGCCACCATAGAGAGTAATGCCACAGGCATTTCCTGATGACCGTGGCCATGGCAGATTGCCCCGGAGGAGTTAATACAAAAGCTTTTCCTGATATAAAAAACGCATGTTTATTATTTTAAGCAAAATGAGCTACAAGTGTAGCTCATTTTTTGGCTTCTCAAGCAGTTTAGTGCCCACTGGGACCAGCGTGTTGAGATTCCTCATTGCTGGTGGCCTGCGGGTAAATCCTGCCCTTTTCTGCTTTGGGAACTGCTGAAAGCCAGAGATTTTCCTTTTGAAAAATATTTCCTTCTGCAAGAAAAATTCAGAAACAGGGTATCTCTCCTGCTCATCACTAGACGGGATGTTTTCTATTGAGGACACAGAATGGGGGATGGTGTTTCTTCCTGTGGTGGTGGTGGAAATGGGTTTGCATTGATGAATGTGATTTAATTTAGATGGTGCTGCCTCACATCTCATTGCAGGAGCTCTCTGCTTTCCTTAGAGTTACAGTAAGGCTAAGTCAGGCAATATTTACTCTTATTCATTGTTTTTCTCATCCTTGTCCTTGAATATTATCAGTTATCTTCTGCATTCTTTAGGAATGTCCATTCTATAAAATGTCTAAAAGTTGTCCCTTCAGTAGAAAACTCCTACTGATACAGAAATAGGCAGCCTGCCACTTTATAACATCTGCAGGTACTGCAAAGAAATGAAAACATAACCTTAAAAAATGTAACATTTGTATTTATACCAGATTGAAGGATTTTTTTGGCAGAATTATTACCCTGCATATTTTGTGAACTTGGTTATTCAAGCTAAAGGTCATACAAAGTAATGTCTGGTTTGTCCCCAGGTTTGGAGGTTTAGGGATTTTTTTGTGAGAGAACTACTCCACTGTAATTGTCCAAATTGTTTATCAGCCTTTTCAGGAATATCAGTGCTTAATGTAAATTTATTTAAATTATTGTGTTGGAAGGAAGAGCAAACTGTCATAGGAGTTACCCCAAGAATCTGCATTTTAATTTCTTCTGGAGGTGTCACTTGCCTTTGAGTTCTCTATATTAATTGTAACATTTTATGATAAATGAATACTATAGGTGAGATAAACATGATCTTTTGCTGTGTGTATATTAGGTTTTTTGTCCAAGTAAAATAAATGGCATGTTTGATGGCGGTACAATTGGTGAAAAATTGCTGCCAGTGTTGTTTGGGTTATCTTGACACATTTACAATCCCAAACATGCTATGCTTGAATATATTGGCTTAAGTATGTATATGTGAAAGGCATAAATGCATGCACTGTAGTTCTTTTAATTCTGCTTAAAAGCATGTGTAAACAGTGGTTGTTCTGCCTCTGAAGAAAACATCTCTATAAACACACATTTTTAGCATTATTTTACATACTGTAGAAGAATTGTAATATAACAATGTGCATATGGAATTTTGATAGTGGTACTGGTTTATAATAGGTTTGGGTTAGGGTTTTTTTTCTGTTGTTGTTTGTTTTGAAGAGCAAAATTTACATTATTTTCTCTTCTGACCTAAGTTATCTGCTCTGACCCAGGACTTGGGGCTTGGAAAAATGGGAAAAATCAGATAATCATGCTCTGAATATTTCTATTTATTTGGTTTTTTTTTTCTCATGTCAGTGAAAGAGCAGATGGCTTGAATGAATCATCACTAGAAATATTGAATGCTTTGGAGAGCTGGGTGACAGAATTTTTTTCAGAGATTGCAAATAAATCAGGTTGTTTCCTGATATTTTTCCATGTCTGTAACTTTTGAAATCAAACACAGAGAATTTTACACAACTCTTTTTCCTTGCATCTGCAGAGGCTTAAATTCTTACTGATTCCCATATCACAGAAATTACTTTTGCCGAGGCAAGTTAAGACAATATGATCTCCGAAAGTTAAAAAAATCCCTAAAATACTTCTTTGAAATATGTTCCATAACATTTAGAGTGCTCCATGGTGTGGATCTTGGCATATAAATCCTTGTTAGGCCTGTGTTATTTCTTCAGTTGCTAGGAAGAGAATTTTGGTCTGTTTACTGGGAGGTGCTGTGTTAACCCTTAGCTTTGAATTTTAGTGCACTATTTAGGAGAATTTGTATTTTGAAATTTCAATATGGATGAGGTTCATCTACTCGTTTAAAAATACACCTCTCTAAAAATGAGCATTGTTTTGATGCCAAGTCAGGCAACCTTTTTAGTCTGACCTGGGGTTTGCTCTCCTCACAGGGCTGATTCATTAACCAGCCCAAGCGTTCTTGGTCTGGTTAATGATTGAAAAAACCTTATTTGCTTTCAAGGCAGTTCTCACTCACGAGTGAGAACTTTTTCAGGCAGGCCCTGAAAAATTTGGTGTGTTTTCTGTATTAGAAGAACAAAATCCTAAGCCTAGCATAGACTCCTGTGTGTAAATGAGTGCCTGAAAAGGAGAAAGATTTGTGGAAATTAATAGAAAGCAGGACTGGAAGGGTCTGTCATTGTTCATCCCCCTGCCCTCAGACAAGGTCGGCTCTCCCGTGTGAATATTTGTGTGAGTTTTAGGGAAGCTTTTTAGTTTTCATTGATTCTGATTCCCTGTTTTTTCTACAGGTTGTTTTTATGTCAAATGCAAGTTTATAATGTATTTGACTTTCTCATTTAAAAAGTCAGCCCCCATCTGAATCTGCTGTGTTTGGCAAGGCTGGAAGTTGGGGTGCAGTGGTGAATGAGAACTGAGAAGAATATCTGGGGTCCAGTACTGATGAATCCAACTCTTTAGAATTTATTGCCACAAATAATTTAAGAAAACAAATATGACTTACTAAAATGGTTAATATATTTTTCACGGTTGAACTGTGTCTTGAACTTACACAAAATAGGATTTTCTTTTATTTAAAAATAGATGTGTGTTAATTCTCACTTCAAAATTTTACAGAGATAGTTATGAGGACTGCCATGGGGGAGTTTGTCTCCAGTGGTTGCTTCTGAGGAAGAATCTGCACATTTAGACTGAAATTAGCTTTTGTGAATTGTCCTCTAAGTAGTTCCCCAAGAACTACATAAGAAAGAGATATTTTATGTTTCAGGCTCTTCATTTCAACATTAGCCAAGTGCTGTATTCTAGTCATGTATTTTTGTGTAAACTCATTTTATTTAAGCAAATCTTCCAAACTCTTCAAAGGTGCCCCTGGTGGCAGGGAGTGAGCACAGGTATTTATTAAGCCTTCAGCCCATGGCCTTCCTATAGAGGTGGGTTATGTGTCTATAAATGTGGAAGTAAGCAAAAGAGTTGGATATTTTACCTCCCTGATTGGAAGGACATCCTGGTTGTGCTGAGCTGCTCAAGATGATACTTCAGACAAGGGCTACAAACAAACTTTTCTTTGCTTCCATTTGGCCTTGCTTTATCTTCGATAAATGTTGTTCTGGTTTTTTTGCCTTTTATTTGAAATGCTTAACCAAATTTGTTTGTTTGTTTGTTTGTTTTTTAAATCCAAGCTCTGGCAGAACCTTCTGACACACCAGAATTTCACACGCTTTACAGAGGTGAGACCTGGGGCAGTGTTTTTATAACTGAAGCTTTTAGATTTTACCTTTAGGCATGCTTATGCTGCTCTAAGTAGTCCTTGTGTTCTGTTACAGCGTGACAAAAAATTAAATGGAATTTTATTTATTTATAACATTTTTACCTGTGTACTTTTAAATTGGTTTTTCATTTTTTTTCTCATGCTTGTCATCATCTCTAAAACACTCGTTCTTCCATAACTGAGTTTTTTCTTTTCCCTTATTCTATAAAGAAAGAAACTGGTGTAGTAGGTCAGGAAATCCAAGCATAAAGCTTCATTAGCAAAAAAGTGCCTTTGAGCAGGCTTTGATCTGGTGGATGCAGGAGCCCCATCCATTTCCTGTGCAATCCTTATTTTTTAAAACCTGGTCCAATTTTGAGGGATCCCAAGTGAGAAGCCAACCCTCAGCTTTCAAGAGAGCCCTTACAGATAGACTGAAGTCATGCACAGGTGATGTGTTTAATTCAGTCAGGGTTGCCCTGGCAACCCCTTTTTTTTTCTTTATCCAGAAAAAGCTTGCTTTATCAGTAAATGTACCTTTCCATAGTACCCCATGGCTTTTGTTAGGGGTCTCACAGCTCTTAGAAGCAATAGATGGGCAGGCCCTGAAATTGGCAGTGTCACAGTTCCTCATTGCTCACTAATACTCATTATTGTTCAGCTCTGAGTGTACCAACATTTAGTCTCCACTTCTTCTCTGGGGTTTTTGGCAGAAAGCTGTGCCTTCCATACTGTGTGAACCACATAATGCCAGATTCTGGGTTTTCAGCATTATTATTCTGCAGCCAGGAGATACAATACTAAGTCTTGATGTTCTAGAGAGTTCTTGGTCATCTTTTTCAAGATTTTGTTTTGCTGTGCATAACAGCTCTCCTGCCTCTAGGAGCAATCAGATTTGGTTTTGTTCCATGTTCACATCACTGGTAATTTTTCAGTGATTTAAAAGTAAAAAAATAAGAGAATGGGAACAACCAAGATGAAAGGGATGATAACTGGCTGTTATACACTAATCTCTTTCCAGAAGCCAGGGAGTTATTTCTCAAAATAAAGTGATTTGTCTCTCTCAAGGAATTATTCCTGATTTCCAGTCAGTCAGGATTACTGTTGCTATGAGTTCATCCTGTCAAGCCATGGGATGGTGCACAAGCAGTTCCTTATTGACAGCACTTTGACAGTGGTAGGTGTCAGCTTCAGGAATTACTGTATATATTTTTATATATTTCCACATGGAAAAATTTTTGGCATCTTCTGTGTCAAAAAAAAGGCCTTGGCCACAGATGGCTCTTGGGATTAAAAGGATTGGAAATAATAGCACACTTCTATTTTCAATGAATAAACCTATTTTGCCATTATCCCAGGCAGCAGCATCCATCTATTGAACATTACTTGGGCATTGCTTCCACAAGAGAAAATTACATGTAAAATTATGTTTAGACTGTCATTATATTTATTATGTAATTATCATTTATTTACATTATGTTTTTATTTAATGGTGTTTTAAAACAGTTTGTGTAGAGAATCCAGAAAATTATCAAGAACTCATCACAGAAAAGGTTCATTTCAGATAATGTGTTTTGTGCTTCTGATTCTTTGAGACTAGCGTACAAAATTATGTCAGTGTTCTGTGTAGAATCTTGGTGTTGATATACTAGATGAAATATTCCATTGACATGTATCACTTTTAATCATCTTCATTGTGCAGGTCATGAGCTGACACTTGTGTGTTGCAGGATGCTGTGGAGACACAGGGCTGGTTTGGATGGGCAGTCAAATTCCAGCTGAAATATCCACTCCTATTCCAGCCCCTGCCTGTGTGGTCCTTGCCCCTGGTTTTAGGGCTATGTCACAGATCTCTGATGGCACCTACAGAATCTGTCTTGGGGAAGTTGTGTGCAGTTTCCTGTCTGTGCTGGCACAAACCTCTGATTTAGGAAGAACAAAAGAGCTTTAATCACTTAAAACACCCAATCACTTTGCATCCTGCAGTAGAATAAGAAAGGTCAGGCAATAACTTATGTTCAGAAAGAAAACTTCAGTTGAATGGATTTGGTTTATTTAACAGTAAAGGTCATGGATTTTGTTCCTTTCTTCTCACATAAATTGATTTTGTAAAGATGAAGTTGGTTTATCAGCATTTGTGTTCTTCTGCTTTGTTATTTCAGTACCAAAGAAAAGGTCATCTTCTTGCTGGGTGTCTGATATTCCATGGTCCATTAAAACTGCATTATTTCTGCTGAGGCTGAATTTCTTTTCTTGCACTTTTTTCTTTATTTCCCCCCTAACTTCACTTGTCCCAAGTGAACTCAGCTGCAGCTGGGTGGTTTGTCCTGCAGTCTGGTATATCAAAGGTGCCTGCATAGGGTTGTATCTGTCTTATTTGGGTTATGTAGGAAAACATTTTAACAGAGCAAGGGCATGATATTTTAGTCAAAGCCTGTCTGCACAACCCAGCTTTCAACCCAGACAATTCCAAAGACAGTGTCCTTGGAACTTTCCTGGAGCAGTGAGAATGAACAAAAACAGTGATGTTGCGTACAAGAAAAGGAATGATAAACAAAATGTATTAGCCAATAGTAACTTGTTAAGCCATGTGAACCCTGTAGGGCCCTATAAGAGTGTGCTAAAGATAGAAATAAAGCAAAGTTCACTTTTATCTCCATGAGAACTCTGTGAATATTCTGAGCAGTTTTCCATTAGGGTTATAGAAACATGACTGTCTTGGATGAGCTAGCCTGATAAGACATTTAGGGTCATACAGATTTTTTTTTTCAGGTTTTGTTCAGTATTCAAGAGCTTGAAGAGATACCCACTTTTACTTTTATATTATTTTAGTATTTTTATTTTAGGGGAGTGAATTGCATTCTGTTTCAAAATGAAGTGTCAGTAGAATGACTGAGTAAGAAACTTACTCAGTACAATGACTGAGTAAGAAAGAAAGATGAAAGAAAGATGAAAATATTTAAAAATATGGAGGTCTGATGGGAAAAGTATTATGTGGCTCTTCTGCTAAGGAAATCGTATTTTCTTTACAGCCAGCTCATCACTGACTTGTTTGCTTTCAGTTCTGCTCCGGCAGTCTTTGAGGTGGTCAGAGAATTGAAAAAGATTTACTTCAATGTGCTCATCCAGTCACAAGTCTTGAGATAAATGAGTGTCAATGAGGAAAGGCTTAAATTTGGTTGAGAAAAGGAATGAATCACCTTTGTCTTCCTGTGTTGTCACAGTAGTGCAAAGAAGGTGGAGTTGCCTTTTTATCAGAAATTACCATGCAGCTCTTTGCTCCTCTGGTTGAATGTAGTGAATGCCAGCACAATAATTATATGTGAACACAATTTTCAAACTGCCAAATATTTTTGCTTTATACTAAGTGCTGGTAGTAATGATCAGGTGCCAAAGGCTGACGTGTATTCACATCTAAAAAGTTATCCTCTGTACTTTTTCTTTATAGTTTCTTTATAGTTTCTTTATTCTGTTTCTTGTCAGCAGCACCTGTGTGTATGTACTTGGAGGTTAAAATTCCTCCTTTTAGAGGATTAACAAATCTGAATAAGTTTCAGCTGGGGCCATCAGCCTCCCACAGTTCCAGCCCAGCTGCTCTTAGTTTCTAATTGCCATTGTTCTCAGATCGTTCCCATTTCATGTTCCTTCCTTAGCAGTTCATCTCATCCTCCCCGGAAACAAATCCTGTACTTTGATCAGCATTTACTGAGGAGATTCTGGAGGCTGCTGCTGCAGAGGTGGGGGTAAGTAGGCAAAACTGGTATTGTGGAAAATCAGTGTAACCCAGCAAAGTCACTGCTTGATTTGGAAAATATGGAGTCCCTGTAGGCCCCCCAAAACAAGAAGTACTCTCTACAGTCTCAAAAATGTAATAGTTAATACTTTATGAATACAATTTCAAATCTTGTTGGAGATTCATTTGGTCTGATGACATAAATATTCTGATAGCGCTTTGCTGATTTTTCTCAAATGAGGGAATGGTAATCAAAATAATGTATGGCTGTGGACTCCTGCCCTGCAGGAGCACCTGAAGGTTATTCCTCTTTGGCTTTGTTCTTTTTAAGGCGGTTATCCCGGGCTGCCTTTCTGCTGCTCGTATCCCCAGTTGTCCGTTCTGTTTCTGCTGGGTGTTGAATTCTGCCCCTCCCAAAGCGGCTCCGGAGCGAGGGGAGGGACAGAAGGAGCCGCGGTTTGTTTTGAGGAGCAGCCTCAGCCCGCCCCGCTCCGGCCTGTGCTGTCTGCAGCACGGACACAGCGTTTAGTTATGGTTTAGCTGGCTGAGGAATTCCCCGGACGCTGTTTTCCTTTTTCCTTGGATCTTTCCAAGCCTGCTCTGGACTGCAAAGCCAGACAAAGCCTGGGAGCTCCCACCTGTGGCTCAGCGGGGCTGGGCCTCGGCACTTCCCAGCGCCGGAGGGACCGAGAAGAGACTGAGCTGCGGCCCACGGCAAGGACTTCCTGAATTTGCCATCTCTTCCAACAGCGAGAGGTTTTACTGTTTAATAATATTATTTTTTTTTTATGCTTGTAGATACTTTGCTTGTTAAATGAGCAGTTTTTTCCACTTTTTTGCAAGGAAATCTTTCTGGGAACCATTTGGGGGAGGGGCCGCTTAAATGTGCATTCTAGAACAATTCCATTCGGAGGTTTTCTCCCAAATTTGCCCTAAACCAGGACAAAGTTAGTGTGCTCTAAAAGGGAGACATTAAATAAAAGCTCACCGTGTTCTGGAGCCCTCATAGCACCGACAACTGTTGACACTACAAATTATGTTGTCTTCATTAGGATTTCTGCCTTGAAGTGACTCATTGAAATGAAAAGGCTTCTGTATACCTGCTGATTAGAAGGTGCTGCTCCAGTATTTAGGATTAAATTGGGCTCTTTGTAGCCAGCCTGTGTAGGTCACACAGATGGTACACAGGTCCCTGAGGGAAGAGGGAGATAATTCTGCATCACATTAATACGTAAGTGTAAATGGTGATGTTCGTTTGTGTTTTGGCCAAGGTGTGAGCAGGTGTTTGAAAGTTTAGTGGGTTTAGTCCATCCTTCTTCGGGTTCACCAGGCTTGTCTGCAAGGTCTGAAGCAGTGTGGGAGTGGAAAAATGCCAGCTGCTATGAAAGGGGTACATTTTGACTAAATTCAAGAAGTATTGCAGATAGGTGTGGAGGAGCCATGCTTCACTTTCCTGGTTTCCAAGGGAACACCTGTCTTGGCTCACCACGGGAAGTGCAGCTCCTGTTCAGCTGGGTTTCCCTGAGTGATTTGTCCTGTATATCCTGTTGCTATGGGAAACCATAACTGTGGCTAATTCCAGGCACAGTGTAGCTGAAAGTCCAGAGTAATGTGTTACAAACAACACATCCTCATCATATGGTCCTGTCACAGCTTCTCAATTAATTTATCTAGGTCTGCAGATGGCCCGTGTCTTTGGTTGTGTATAAATCGGGCTTGGGGTGCAGATAGGGATATCTGTGTATATTTGCATTACTTAGAGTCTATTCTAGGCCAGTGATCATACTTTGAATATCATATGTTCTCTAGTTTAATCATCTTGGTGCCTTAAATATTCATGGAATCATGGAATGGTTTGGATTGGAAAGGACCTTTAAGATCATCTAGTTCCAACCTCCTGCCATGGCAGTGATATCTTCCACTAGATTAGGATATTCCAACTTGGCCTTGAATGCTTCTGGGAATGGAGAAGCTCCAACCTCTCTGTGCAGCAAATATTGTAGTTCTGTGAGCTTCTGTAAACTGACAACATGACTGAAGAAAATACCAAAATGTTCTTTATTTGGTGGTTGTGCATGTGAGTTGTAATGATTAAAGCATCACTGCTTATTTATGTCCTGGGCATAGCCAAGGCAAAGGAACAGCTGTAACTGGCTTTGGGGATTGAGCCAAGCCCTTGTTTTTGTCCTTTAATCTGCAGGAGACAAAGTAGGTTTTTATTATTAGAGTCTGTATGAAAAATTCTTAAATCACCTTTAAAAAAAAAAGGAACAAACAAGGAGAGATGTAGTTTGGCAAGTTGATGCCTTACTGCACTGTAATGGAGCACATGTCAGCTGAAGTCCAAAAGGGAAAAAAAAAGGTTTTATTTTGGCCTTTCCTGCAAAGACCTCTGTAGCAAGAGATTCTGCTAACTTCACTTGCTCCTCTGCAGGCTGCCAGCCACTGATGTAATTGAGAAAGTTTTAACTTCTCCATAACTTCTCTTGCCACTGATACCTTTAGGGTCAAAGTAATATGAAGTCAGTTCGTGGGGTAAGGCTTTTTGAATGTGACACCCATTTTAGATATTGCTAAAACCAATGCCAATTTCCAATAATTTTGAGTCAGCTTTTCATTACAGGAAGTCTAGAAGTCAACTTTAGCCTTTGTAAGAAAATTTCTGTCTGTGAAACTTAGATGTAAATATTATCTTCCAAATATTGTTTATTTTTCATTTCAAGGTGCTCTCTTTGCTTAGACCTTACTTAGGTCTGTGCCTTATTAATAAAATATGTAGATTCAGGGATTTTTCTTGAATGTTTGGTTGTAAGGCTTTCCATCATCTTTTATGTGTAATGGCTTGAATTAAATTAATGTATGTGTTTTTAGCTGAGTCCCAGTGGGGGAATATATGTATGAAAATAAATTACTGCAGTTGGAACTAATTGATTCTTTGATTGGTAGACTCAGCAGATGAAGTCCTGAATAGGGTAATGTGGAATGTCTTTGCAATTTGGCCTCAGTTGTACCTGGCCAAGAACTGTAGGTAAAAATCTTTTACCTCTTTTACCCGACTTTGTAGCCTTGAGGCAAGGGCTGAAGAACTGAACTGATGTGAACACAAAATTATCAGTCCAGCCTTGTGCAATCCTGTCCTTGGAGCCAGGCAGATACTGAACTATCTGGGAGATTTGCTTGTTTCACTGACACAGCTTCAGCTCCCCACTAAGGCACTGCCTTATCACCACTGACAAGATTACAGTGATTTCCTTGATGTGTGGGGAATTTAGCAGGCTAATCCTGTAAAGAATGTTCTCCCACCGAGGTACATGGAGATTTGAATGCTGCAAATAATGTGAAAAAAAAAAAGTATCGTTTTTTAAAGCATGTTAATTCTCATTCTGCTTGCTGATGCAGGTACAGGTTAGCATTACTGCCCTCCTGTAAAAGCTCAGAACTCGGCCTGGACTGGTGCTCGTTGAGTTCCTCTGGAAGCTGGGATGAGAAATCCACATTCAGCACTGCGAGGCATACAGGCCACCTTCTGGGGCCAATACCGATTCATTTAAATTTGCACAAATAACGCAGAAATAGTTTAAAAATGTAGATGATTTGGGAGGCATTCTGCAGTGGTTTCGGTTTTTGGAGCAGCAGGGATCGCTGGAGCTGGGCAGGCCGATGGTTTCTCCTCCCCGCCCGGCAGTGGCGAGCGCGGCGGCGGCGCTGGGAACAGCTCGGCCGGAAAGAGCTCGGCCCCGGCCACTCCTCCCGAGCACAGCCCTGCGGGCTCCCCGGAAAGAGCTCGGCCCCGCTGGGCAGGAGCCCCGAACAGGCTCCCCGAAAAGAGCGAGCGCCCGCCAGGCCAGCCCCCAGTTACCTGTTCAAGGCCAGAAGCCAAAAGAAAGCTTTCTTAGCGTTACAGATATATAGCATAATAGTGGCTTTTGGAATGTATTAACATGAATGGCCTATGTCTAATGCTAAAACGGCTTTGCTGTAATTGTCGATATAGTACGTTTGAACTGCCTGCTTAGTTAGGATAACATTCAGTGAACAGATGATGGGGACCCTGCTGATTATCAACACTCGCTGTCTGTGGAAAGGAGGAGCCAAGCTCAAAAGGCGGTAAGAAGAGGATTAAAACCACAAGCCAAGAAACACACATGCTTTAAAAAGGTGACCCAGGAAATGGCTGTGCTAAACAGCACCTGGAAAATATAAATTAGTTAATAGAAAAGTTTGAATATGCATAAAGTCTGTGAATAAGCATCAAGTTGATGCAATAGAAATGGAATGTAAAGGGTGTTTCCAAAACAGCAGGGGTGCTCTTGGCAGAGTTCCAAGCACCCAGCCGTTTTAACCCTCTGCTTTATTGTCTTTGTCTCCTATTGTCTTTTTTATTAAACCTTTTAAAATTTCCCTCAACTCTGAACGTCTTTTTTCACATTAGACTTATTTGTTTTTAAAATATAGATCTCACAGAGACAGATCTAAATAGTTTAATCAGTTGTCAATTCTTAAAATTAGCTATTAGTTTTTTCTAGGTACAAAAGGAGCTCTGAGTAGCTCTTTTCAGAAAAACAATTTCTGTAGGCAGTTTTTTTTATTAAATATTAGTTAATGCAAAACTAGCACACATCTTAATGCCCAGGTAGGTTTGGGACTCTCTTATGAGGGTCTTTCAGTTTTTTGTGCTGTCCTTGCTGTTTAGACCTGGAGAGAATTTTGTTGTTTCACTTTTTTTCTTTGTTACCATATTAGTTTGCCAAAATAGTTAAATGAAAAGGAAGAATGTTTTGAAGTAAGAAAAACCTATTTCCAATTAGAAAACTAAACCACTGATATTTACCAGTACATCAGTCCATATTAGTTTGGTAATAATTCTTTGCCTGAAAAGTTTTACCTGCTTGGCTGCTTCCTTTGGGACCAAGAATTGACTGAAAGAGAATTTCAGTAATTGCACTGCATCCAAGGGCTTTGAACAACATGTGATGGGGAAAGGTTGTATTGTATTATCCAGGATTTCCTTTTTTTAAGAGACAGGGGAGAGCAAGCTAACAGTGTGTTAGTGCTCTGAGTCACTTATGTGTCCAGCCAGAACTGTTGTCATACTTTCAGAACCTTCTTCTGGCTTTATTTCCATGAAAGGGAATGTTTGTATGGTTAAAGGAAGTTGAGCCTGCCTCTTGAGATTCCAGAAATAGCAGTATTTCTGTCTTTTTTTTTCCAAGAGGAGGGTGTAAGTGTGGCTCTAAGGAATGTTGCAGTTTCCGTAGATGTTTTACCAAAAGCTTGAGGAAGAAACTGAGTCATTCACAATTAACTGTTGAATAGTCCAGCATGTGGCAGTTCAGGTTAAAAACCCCACCAGTTGTGTAGTGAGCACTGTTCAGTTCTGGGACATTTTCTCATGCTGGGTAAGGACTGGTGTACAACAAAAACCAGGAAGTTTTACTTGGCTGCATCACTGATGGGATTATTCAGCTCCAGGAAATGAAACTGGTGCTGTTTTCCATGTGATTCTCAGATGACCAAAAGCAACGTGGCAGAAAAAGACAATTCAGAACAAAGCGTTCTGTTTTGAACATTGCACCATCCTTACACAGCACTGCTCCCACATCCCACTCTGGATTTGGGCAATAAAGAATTACGGAAAACTCAGACCAAAGTATGATACAGTCCCGTTTCAGACACCATGAAGAAATCAGTTCAGTAATCCCAGATAAAAAAATTTAATCTTTCTATAGAAACAGTGCACTGTTTTACAAACGTGATCATTTGGTTTCCAGTACAGCAAGTGTTACACAGAGCCCCCCGCCCCTCCCTGGGCCTTTTGTCTGGAAGGTAAGAACTGAAACACAAAAGGCACCAAGCAAGAACTTACTCTAACAGAACTTCAGTATGACAAGACAGAGCAGAAATGATTACGATGTTAAATATCACCCTACCAATCTGAACCATTATTTAAAATAATTAATTTCTTAAAAAACAAATTTGGTGTTTGATTCTCAGTAGTTATAAATCTGTAAAGGTTGAAATCAGCACTGCATGTTGAGTTCATTTACAATGGTTTGAAAAAACCTGCAGCCTTTTACACATGGTTTGTACAGGTTGGTTTGTGTGTTCTTAAAAAAGTATCAAAACTGTAGAACTTTCATATATATTTACATTCGTCTGTTAGTTACAGTGTTATCACATACAGCCTTTCTCAGCTTTTTTCTTCATGCACACAGTGCATGGATTTGTAGAAAGAGCTTCATACCTTAAAACAATAATGGGATATCTCATTTTGTCACTGCCTTAAAATCTAAAATTTAGACTAAAAGGATGCTTGATTAATTCTGTATTAACTGTGCAGGCCATGAGGCATTTGAGAGTATGTATAATGTCTGTAATGCATACCAGGGCTTTACATCATTTTTTCCTTCTCTTAGTCAAGAATCAGCTTCCAGCTCACATAACTCTGTAAATTCATTCTAAAATAAAGGAAAACAAAAGGAAAAAGATTCCAAACCTACTCAGCCTGAGTTTCTTCTACTCGAATACAAAAGCTTGGACTGACATAAAAACATGAGGAAGATTTCTCTGGGATTTGGTACAGTTCAGGGAGGTACCAGTCCATTATGCAGTGGGAGGTAAGTGTGCTCACCTCCCACAGAATTCCCAGGAGAGCGAGATAAGAAAAACAAAGTGTTTTCCTGCCAGGTGCAGGATGTCCCAGCCATAGACACTGGAAAGGCTGGGTGTTTTTAAGCTGCTCTGGCTTCCTTGCCAATTGTGCTATGCTGCCGAGGCCCTGCCGTGGGCAGCTTGCCAGGGGCAGGACTGTGGAAGAATTCTGTGCCTGCCACAGCAGCTCCTAAACTTCGATTTTTTTTTAGAAACAAATGAACAAAAACCAAGCTGTAAAAAAGCAACAATACAACACAAAAACCCTGGGTGCTGTAGGAGTTTCTCCTGACTGAAATGCTGTAGGCAATAGCTCTCCAGTTAAATGCACTGCATGGATTCTTCATGGATAGACTGGAAAAGGTAAAAGCAGCCCTTAAGAGCCAGGATGGGAATCAGGGTCTGTTATGGAGTGCTTCACTGGTCAGCTATCTTACACTACAGCTCTTTCTTACATAGTATCTTTAGATTTCAAAGCAAACTTCTCAAACATCCTGTAAAAATTCAATTATCCCTAATTTTCATAAATGTAGGCTAGTAGTTTTAAAATATATGTATATATTTTTATATATATGTATATATTTATATGCCTATATATCTATCTTGTCCAGATAGATATATACACAGATAATCTATGCACAGCAAGCCAAACATACAAAAAATAAATACTCTCACCCCTCTACTATATTTACAGAACAGAGTTTATAATCCAGATTTTGTTAATAAATATTTCTAAACTGCCTGTACAGAATTTATTTTACTTATGTTGATGGATAGCCACAAAGCATATTCAACATATTTACAAAATATCTATAAATATAGTCTTAAAATAAAGCAATAGCTACTGAACCTTCAGCCTGGCTGGTTATGTACATTGAGTTAGTAGCTCAGCTGTTGCTTATTCACTATCACAAATGGGTAGTGCAACAAGTTAAAATGTGTATAAAAGATTATACATACAAAACTCTCACATCCTTTGGATGTTTGCAGTTCATTATAACTTTGTGGTTACCCTTCTGCAACATAAATAACGATCATAAAGAGGAAGCAGGTTCTGTGGTCCAAAGCAGATTTGTTCAGTGTTCAGATGATGGGAGCAGCATCTTCATCCTCATGGCAATCCATCATCTTCTAAGCTTAATGCTACACGCTGGGGAGGAAAAAACCACACTTTTGTGAGCTGTGATACTGGTGCTAGCTTGTATTTCCTGTTAGAACTCTCATGTGACTGGTGACAAGTCCATTCTAGATAGTGATTTTTTCCCTCCCCAAATGAGGTCACTTGCTCAAGTGTTTCTGAAGAGTGCTGGGAAGTTTCCTGCCCATGTATGTTGGATAAAATTCCTTGTAAGGGATGGTAGTTTCTCCAGTGTGATCTTGTGTGAGGCATTTAAATAACAGAGGACATTATCCGCCTGCCTACAGGGGCTGTACTGCCTTCACTCATTACTCTGGATCCTCCTGCTCTCTTCTGAAAATACAATTTTCAGAAGAAAATTGCCAGTGCTCCCCTCCCCAGGGATGCTGCTCTGATGGAGGATCCTTTTCCTTAACTTCTAACAGAACCTCATTCAGTTCTCCTTGTGAGGAATGTGACTTTTCTTTATACTGTTACTGTCGAGAAAATATTCTCCCTGGTTTGTAGAGAAACTCAAATTTATCCCTACGGTAGTTTGGACACTTGGTAGCAGCCTAAGCACAGATATAATGGAATCCAGGAGAGGATGAGTAATCTCCTGTCCCATCCTGGGGGAACTCTTGGGGCAGCTTTACATTTATCAGATTGGTAGCTTGACTAGGACAATTATTCTTCATTTGAACAGAGTATCTGATCCAGAGCACTAAATTCTAAGACAACTGCATGGGCTGCCACAAGTTTAGGCTTCTGCCAAATCAATGATAATAAAAAAGTTCTGTTTTTTGTCATTATGTGGCAAATAAGCAACATTAATCCAGATTCTGTACTGGAGCTTTCAACAGAATTAATCCTCTCCATCAGCCATCTCCTCAGGTACTTACTGCTGGGTACACGTGTCCAATTTGGGCAGTTCGCCCAATGTGGATTTCATCTTCATCTTCCTCTTCTGTTGTCTTCCTATAAACTGGATTATCAAAATTCATGCTTTTAGTATTCTTCCGTTTCCAGTTTCTCCAGATGAGGTATCCCCCCATGCACAGCAAGCCAATGACCACTGAGGAGAGGGGAGAGAATGGGCTGTTAGGCAGGCGTGGATCTGCTGGGACCTTCCCATGTTTGCAGCCATCCTCATAACATTTTCTCAACGCTGGGCTCCTTTTCCCCAACAGTTCCTGCACTCTTTCCCACCCCACCCCTGAAAACTGGGGGTTTAAAATACAATACTAATGTATTTACTGTGGTAAATACACTATTTTGGTATTGCATTTTGGTGTGACCTCCTTCAAAGGTTAAATCCCATCTCCTTACCCACAGGAATGACAATTCCAATCACAGCTGCTGTCACAGTTGAACCGAAGCCTTCATCATCATTTGCATCTGTAATTACAGAAGTGTTCTGATCATTTAACTCGTTTGCTGCTTTTAAAGGATGTTTTCTTTTAGTACCCGTGCTGCTCTGCCCATCAGAAAGCTTTTGCAATTAAAGAATTTACAAAAAGTTTAATACTAAAATTACTCTGGCCATACAGAGCAGTGCCCACAGATGTGGGCTGAGCTGAGCTGCTGCTCCTGAGGAGCGAGGTCCCTGCAGCAGCCGGGGACAGCGACAGCTGGAGGCCACTGAAGGGACACGCTCCCTGCAGCGCTGTCAGAGAAACTCTGACCAGAAATGCGTGTTTTCCGGCACAAAAAAGGAGGCCAGTTTTAAAAACCTGACATTTAATGGAAATGGAATGCAGGGATCAGGGGATGGTGAATAGCACTCCTAAAAATCCACAGCAGAACACTTTCTAGTGCTGACACAATTAATGACTTACTGAGCTGTCAGAAAAAGAGTGTAGTTCAAAGCCATCTGAACAGTTTTTCTGTTTAATTTTTCCCTTTTTATTATTTACAGCTAAGGAGTTAGTGAACACATCTATCCCTCATTGCTGCAGCCTGTCCATGCAAGGATGGTCCCAAAAGTCAATAGCATACTTATAAGAGAAAAAAGCAATTATGGGAAAATATAATTAAAAAAATTCAATATAACCTTTCAAGTTTTAAACTTTAAAATGTTTGCTCGGAGCTCTCATATAGCATATCAGTAGAGAAAATTTACTTTTTCTAAAATATCAGGAGTTGCAAGAGGAGGAACTAACTGTTCTTTTTCTTTTGATACACCAATTCATTCAACTTTTAAATACTCCCCTGTGGCAGGCTGTTCCATTACGTAATTATTTACTTAATAACGAGCCAGACTCTCTCCAAAGTGGACAATAAAAGCACCTTGCTTCCATGACATAATAAAAAGGTAATTACTGCACTTGAAAGAAACTTGCACAAAGGGAACTGAATGCATTTTAGCCTTTGGACTGAGCTTTCTGCACAGCACGGTTCTACAGACAGGTGCACTGCTGCTTTCCCCACGTCATGGAAACAGTGAAACATTTGTGCTTTCCTGGGCTGCCTTTCTGCTGCTCGTATCCCCAGTTGTCCGTTCTGTTTCTGCTGGGTGTTGAATTCTGCCCCTCCCAAAGCGGCTCCGGAGCGAGGGGAGGGACAGAAGGAGCCGCGGTTTGTTTTGAGGAGCAGCCTCAGCCCGCCCCGCTCCGGCCTGTGCTGTCTGCAGCACGGACACAGCGTTTAGTTATGGTTTAGCTGGCTGAGGAATTCCCCGGACGCTGTTTTCCTTTTTCCTCCGATCTTTCCAAGCCTGCTCTGGACTGCAAAGCCAGACAAAGCCTGGGAGCTCCCACCTGTGGCTCAGCGGGGCTGGGCCTCGGCACTTTCAGCGCCGGAGGGACCGAGAAGAGACTGAGCTGCGGCCCACGGCAAGGACTTCCTGAGTTTGCCATCCCTTCCAACAGCGAGAGGTTTTACTGTTTAATAATATTATTTTTTTTTATCCTTGTAGATACTTTGCTTGTTAAATGAGCAGTTTTTTCCACTTTTTTGCAAGGAAATCTTTCTGGGAACCATTTGGGGGAGGGGCCGCTTAAATGTGCATTCTAGAACAATTCCATTCGGAGGTTTTCTCCCAGATTTGCCCTAAACCAGGAAAAAATTTGCCCTAAACAGGGGAAAGCAGCATTTTACTGTTTTTAAACATAAACGTCTGTTTGAGGTCTTGTAGAGCAAAATCTCTCTGGACTAGATTTTTTTTTGAACAGCAGTTCAACCTTTGTGCTTTGCTTTGGCAGCAGGACCTGGAGGAATTGCCTGTTAGCTCTGAGATGGAGCTGGTGTTCATTGAGGAGAGCCCATCAGTGCTCTCCACTGGGCTGCTCTTCTGATAAATAATGCAAAACTGCAAACCTGTGTCATGATGAGGCCGCATTAACACGCCAAGCACGGCCACACAAACCAGAAACAGCTTGTCTTGGGCTGTAGTGATTCCACGTGTCCAGCAGCACTAAAGATGCACAGGGGCAATTTTTCACCCAGAACTTGTGCTGGATCACATTAATAAGTAAACAATTAAAATAGGTGAAGCAGCTGCAGAATCATCCATTCTGCTGTCAGCAGCATTGAAGCTGGGATGAGCCAGTACTGGGCACAAGGCAAGGGCTGATGTGAACTCTCAGGGTTGTTCATGTGCCTTGATAAAAGCTGATAAAAGTTCCTTGACATGCCAAGTGATGGAATGACAGCAGCCATCCTACCCCAGGTGCCTGCAGAGAGAAGCTGATGTCTCCTGCTGTGCACCAGGGTGTGCCTGCACCTGACCCCTCTGGAACTCAGACATTAGGTCAGGTCTCCCACCAGTGCATGAGAAGTGATACAGAAGAAGAAAAGGAATGTCATTCTCTTACAGTGCTGTGATAAATTGCTGTTTCCAGTGGTCATCTCAGAATCTATCAGGATGGATGTGGTGGAAGGTAAATGAAGACTTGGGGTGGTGATTGTAGCTTCTGGTACAGCTTTGGGGACGACTTTGGTGGTGTCATTGGCACTGCCAGGTACAGCGGCGATGGTCGTGGTGCCATCAGCACGGGACGCTGTGGTTGTGGAAACCACTACAGGAGTTGCAGTGGTTGGAAGATCTGGAAACCAAAAGCAATAATGAAATTTGGGTAAAGCAAGTACACCAAGCAAATCACAAATGGTGAGAAAAATCTAGGAAGGACTTTTATGTTTAATGAAGAGAAGCAGAAACCAAATTCCAATTATATTTCCCAGGCAGTCAAACTATCGACAGTTCTCTGCCTAAAGCTACAGAAATTATTTCCTGAAGTCAAGCTTGATTAATTAATACTAATTACAAAAGCACTCTATATTAAAGGCAGCTAAGAAGTTCACAAACTTGGGAGTTTTTGAGAACCTCCTAAGATTCTGGATTTTAACCAGGAACTCATTGCATGCTAGGAAAAACTACAATGAAGCCACTCATCTCTTCAGGATATTATCAGCAACAACTGTGGCCCTCTCCAGACCTGATTTATATATCTGTCTATAGATAGATATATAAATATCTAAATATATGTAAATATATTGCACATATATATATACATATAAGCATATATTGCATATATAGATTAAATAATATAGCAGTAGATGAGTAACCAGTTGTAATGGTTTATTGACTATTTACACTTTCAGTGCTGGTCCCTAGCCCTTTTTTCCCCTCCTTCTGCTGTATCTTTTTCTGGTTAAGCTTTCCAAAATAAGCAAGCTTTCAACAAAGGACACCACAGTGCTGCTGGGCTCAGAGGGCAGCAAGGAGTGGAATACAGAAGTTGGTGTTTGTGTTTTCAGCATCAGGAAACATATTCACTCTAAGTATGATTTTGCTGGGACAGTGAAATGGAGATGTGATTGTATTTACCTTTGTAGCATTTTTTCATGTCAGGACCCAGCCACATATTGTCAGGACAAGCACATGTGTACTTGGGGGAGTGGGGAGAGATCTGAGGTGCAGGAAGACACAAGTAGTCACAGCCTCCGTTTGGCTGGGGGCTGAGCTCACAGGAATCTGGAGCTGTTCAAGGATGGAAGAAAACACAAGTTATTTTTCTAATTAATTATTTCTTTCCCTTGGCAAAGAAATATCAGATCCTCTGAAAAGACCTTCTACCACTCCCTACCTCAATTTATCAGGCTGCTCAAGCATCTTTCCAGTTTGTACAGTGGAGTGGAACCTTCCAAAGTACAATAAAAACTTCCCAAATACATAATGAATGGGAAGCATCACAGTGACAAGAGTAACTCACTGTTATCAAAGATGCTAATTAAACAGCTATTAGCAAATTGCAGATTCTTCAATAAATGCTGCTGCTGAATTAATTATGCAGGAACTTCAAACATTAGGCATTGATTTCCCATTATTACCTGTGCATTCTCTCTCATCAAGAACTATCAGGGAGCATTTCATTTGCCAGCTCAAACAAACCTGATTCAGGGCCATGACACCCTGAGGACACCTCTTACCTTTGGGCTGCTTTAATTCATGAAACACCACGATGTCATGAGGGTTATTGAGATTCTCTGCCAGGATGGAGATGTCCAAGCCATTGAGCCTGTTTGCACTGAAGATCGCTTCGTTCTCCAGGTCAGTCCAGAACACTCTGTCCTGCAGGGAATGCACAGATTCCTGACCTGGCCTGCTCAAATCCTACTTGAGTTGGATTAAACTCCAGTAGTCACAAAGTCAGTGCACCATGCTCCTACCTTGGGGCACCTTTTGTTCATGCTACTTCTGTCTGCAGCTTTTTTCTATTTTGAACAATGTTCAAAAGCTCAGCATTCCTACAAGTTTACAGAGTGCTGTGTAATTTTGAGTAGCTCTGAGAGGGAGATGAGGGAGCACCTCATTTGGTAAGGTACAGACAAGTTGCATCTGTGTTGTTTCTGAGCTGCTTAAGCTGGAGTAGATCTTGAGCAAAGGGCCACACTCTGTAGTAGAAACATTTGTTTCCTTGCTGATTTTTTCCTCCTTTCCCAAGATAATATCTGCATTAAACAGGGCTCTGTGAAGAGGCCAGTGCCTGGAAGCTGAGAACCTATTTCTCTTTTATATTAATATCTTTTGCATGTCATAGTATGACTGAAGATACAGAACTAATGGTGGAAGAGGTACCCAGGAATCACAGTTACCAACTGTTTAAGTGCTTGGTCATCTGTGTGTGCTGCTGCCTCCTAAACCCATGTGTATTTCTGTAAGGAAAGCCACACTACTGGACAACAAGGGCTTAGCAAAAAAGTGCTTAGCAAAAGCAAAAGGGTTGTCTGTTATTCCACCCAGCCATTAATACCGGGAAGGATGGAGAGAGGTGAAATAACCTTAGAGATCCTTCCTGATGCTGCTGATGGGGATAGCACTAAAGAGCAACAATAACCTGGAGAAACCTATGCCAAAAATTAGATGCTCAGATACCACACATTTCACATAGGAGGAATAAGGGATTTAAGGATGAGGGTTTTCCTGAGCCAGAAGCCAACTGGACCTTTCTCTGCTACAGCTTACTACAGTGAGTGCCAAAAGTTGAAGCCTTTGTTCCCCTGATCATTTAATGCACTGGTGCTGCATTAGGTAGAAACATCAGGTAACACTTTGCTCTTGATGAAGAGCTTTAAAAACCAATTTCCCTGCTGAACCCACACAAGGTTAATCGGTTTCTGTAGCAGTGACTGCCCTCACTGAGCTCTGTGCTGTGCAAAAGGCAGAGCCTTTAATCAAGAAGAGCTCTGAGACCTCTTACAGGCTCAAGTCTGCTCTGCATCCGTTTTCCACTCTTACCTCAAACACTGCCAAGCCAAAAGGATGGCTCAGATCATCCACAGAGGAGATCAGAACTTTTCTGTTGCTGCCATTGAAATCAATGCAGGACAGTGAATGCAATTTGGAGTCTACCCAGTAGAGACGCTGATTCAGCAAATCTGCAAAGTAAACCACAATAAAGCAAAATTAGACACAACTCTTGCAACTATTTTGCTCTTGCCCAGCATGTTTTTCCTGCTGGCAGCATGACTAATCTCTCTATTATTTGGCCTCTTTTTTTTTTAACAGTAGTTCTGATTTTGAATCAGTGCCCAGATATGCTGGGATAAGACCCTGTAAATAAGATTAAAAAGGAGGAACATTCTGCTCTGTGTGTGTTGGGAATGCCTGACTGACAGCCTTGTACAATGAAGGTTCTGTTGTTACCAGGAGCAGCAGGGGAGCAGCAGTTTGGGCTTCCCAGATTCTCTCCACCAGTGCCCGAGTGAGAAGCTTCATCCGTCCCAAGGTTGTTTGGGCCTTGGCCTCTTGCTGGAGAACAACTACTGGAAGGAGCTGTGAGATTCACACATTTTCAGTGAAGAAGAATCTTGGGCCCAAAAATCCTTCTTATGCTGCAGGCTGGGGGAATCTGCTGGTGGGGACAGTCCTACCACAACCAGCCAGGTTTGGGGAGGGTGCAGGTAAAAGTGGGAGGAAAGGATCCAGTGTTATTTGGAATGCTAAGCACTGCATTTATCTTTCTAGAGCAAATTCACTCATTTTGGATGGGATTCACTGAACAGAATGCAAGTGAAGTGGATGAGAGCCAATAAAACAAGTTATATAATGAAATAAGTCATTAATTAATTTCTTAATTACTAAATGATAACATTATTTGTTCAGAGCAGTAGCACTTCAGCAGTATGTAATGGCAGCAGCATTTCCTCCTCCATCCTTGCTACAGCCACCATTTTCAGAGCCAAGCAGAGAACCTCACATCTACATGGTGTTAAACACACACAGCTCCAACTCCAGAGCAGGAGTTCCATGAAACCTCCTTCCCACTCTGCTGCTTGGTGTGGCACTGAGAACCACCACAGCCCTCTGAAGGGTTCCATTTGCCCTGAGCAGCTGGGCAGGCAAGGAATGGTGACAGGGAATGGATTCTGCAGGCCCTGTTCCTTTCCCTGACACACTGTACATCATTCATCAGTTCAGTGCGGGATCCTGACACTGCTCCTGTAATGAGACAGGCCCAGGTACAGAGACATTTAACACCAAGGATTCAAAAGCTTTTCAGTCTTCTAGAGGGTTGTCACAGCTCTGCATCCTCCCCCAAAATTTCCTCTTGCCTTAAGGCACAATGACAAGCAACTTAAGGCTCCTGCAGTATGAGATTCTGACTGCAGCAAGACTTCCTATTTGTGCTGCTGCAATAAGGGAACTCATGTTCGTGAGCAGTAGTGACAGACCAGTTTAGGATTTGTGTGTACAGGTGCCTTTGAGCAGTTATGATTTTGTTTTCCTGCTCAACAATAAAACCAGATTTCCTTCTGGTTAGAAGTAAGCAGTACTGGCAGTAGCTCTGCCCTGGGCACTTACCAAGTGTGATGCCGTTTGGCCACTCGATGTTGTCGGTGACCAGCACCTGCCGCCCCACACCATTCAGACCGGCCTTCTCAATCTTGGCTTTGTCTCCCCAGTCAGACCAATACATGAACCTGAGAGGCAGAGGTAAGAAAGCAATAACCTGGACTCCAGTTAAGAAACCTGCACTTCTGACTGCAGTAGGAGGTGCCCTAAGGTTCTCTCCTTATTACAGCACTTAATTCTGCTGGTGGAACCATATGCAGTTCTCCCACAGGGGAATCTGCACAAAACTTGCACCAGAATGCAGCACTCACCCCAGTAACTAACCCCTGGACACTCTCCTGCTGTGCCTGTTAGGTACCTGGCATTCACTCATCCAAACAGCCCAAACACAGGTCAGGCTGCATTTCCCAGCACAGCCTGTGCCAAGACCAGCTCAGGCCCACTGAACACATGAACTGGCTCTGAACTGTCTTTAACAGGAGGGACCATGCCAAGGGTTAGTTAAAGCATCTCCACAGTCCCATTGCAGGGCATATCTTAAAGGGCATCTGAAATCCTGGTGAGATGAAAACTACCCCCAAGTTTGTCAGAAGGGCAAAAAGACAACTGGAATGTCTCTGTTGGCGAAGGGGTGTTTGTGGTGTTCACACCTACCTCTGTGTGGGATCCACAGCGATGGCTCTGGGCTCACTGAGGTCACTGTTGAAAAGTGTCCTCCTTCTTCTTCCATCTGCAGTGGCCACTGAGATGGTTTTGTTTCCAGAGTCTGTCCAGTAGATGTTCTTATGGACCCAGTCAATGGCCAGTCCCTCGGGGGAGTTGAGCTGGCTGTCGATCAGGATCACCTGCTCGGCCGTGTCACTCGCTTTGTCGATGTAGGCGCTGCAGGGACAGGAGGTCACAGAGCTCCCACAGGGCTCCCACAGCTGGGCCCCCAGGGCAGTGTGCCTGACACGGGAAACTTACGGTGCTCCTGCAACCTTCTGCTTTCTCCTACAGCCTCCTATTTACCTTATGGTAACATTATGGTGCTCCTGCAACCTTCTTTCTCCTACAGCCTCCTATTTCCCCTTTCCCATATGGCAGCATTTCCACCGTAGGGAATTGTTAATTTCATCCTTCTACCTTCTTCCTACTGTAACTGAACAATTCAGGAAAACATTTGACTTCAGGCATGTTAACTTCAACAGCATTGATTTGTGGGATTTATGAACATTAAAAATATAATCTCCAGGGCTCTGCTGAACAGAGTTGAACTGAGCATGCAATAAATGTGCTTATATGTACCACAGAATTAGGAGCTGTGTAGCTAATTGTGATTCATCAAAGAAATTCATGAAGCTGCATTAATTTGGCAAGTTATTTCACTAGATACAAATAAAATGTTCACTAAATATTAGTGGAAGCCTCAAAATCTTTCAAAACGATAACGAAAGCAGGAGACTCCACATGGATGTTTCATAAATAACTGCAATGTTGCTCCTACAACCACACAGGCTGATTCTGCTCTCAATATCAATTCCGCTGAGTGAGCTGAATTTAGTTATTCTGAGTTTGCATTAGTGTTTGTAGAAACTTTGTCTGGCTCTCAGAATAACTCAGTACAGCTTAAAACAGTTATAAAACAGCAGGAAGTTTCTGTCTCTTACCCCAAACATTTGAAATCGTAAGATGCTTCACATCCTCTCTTCACTGCCCATCCTGCCTTTGCTCATGGAATAAGAAGGTGAATTGTATGGGAGCTGAGTTCTCCAGTGTCGGATTAGAGCCTTGGAACCGAAATGTCTAAACCCAGGAACTCCTGACAGTTTTTCAGTCTGCAGTCAGGGCTGGAATGGCCATGCACAGGCAGCCTGGATGACCAGCACACTGCTGCATCTTCCCTACAAGAATGGTTTGGCTTGTCTCTGACCCAGCACCACAGGAATGGTACCTCAGGGCTCTATGGGCATCTGGCAGTGCTCCCAAGATTCCAGTATTCCAGCAGGACAGTTGTGCTCCCTGCTTCCTGCCTATGCCTGCACAGGAGGGAAAACCAAGGGGCTCCTGCAGCTTCCACAATGGAAGGGCTCGAGTACAAGTGACATTTCAATTCTCCCACTAAGTAAATACTGTAAAAGTACTGTATAGTATTTATATATCCCAAAGGAGACATCAGCAGGACGGGATCTGGAAAGGCAAGTGAGGTGACCATTATGAAAGATGGGATCTCATGCCAGCGATTACCTCCTGCATCAGTTTTCACCTTGCAATAGCCTCTCAACCACAGACTGCTTGTTCCCATGGACTCCAAACATATTTGCTGTTGGAGAATTGCAGGAGCAGTGTCTTGGATAATTCTCTGTACGAACTCAGCCCTTGCACAGACAGATCTAGTGAGTGCTGACAGCTTTCTTCTGAACCATCCCCCCACTTTCAGAGCCCCATAGGCCCCTCAGGATATCTGCCCAGCTACTGCTGGTCAATACCCAGCACAGCCTGGGCAGATATCCCTGCAGGGCACGGGAACTACCACAGCCTGTAGAAACCCTGGCCTGGCTCCCATGTGCTGCCACCAGTCAGCCTGTGCCTGATCATTATCTGAAACCCAGAGCAAACCACTGCAGAAGCTGCAATAGCTGTATCAATGTAGCAATAGCAGATCAGAATATACAAGGGGGATTTTCAGCACATAAATTAAATGCTTTTTTGGCTAAGCACACTCACAAGACCCAGCACATAATAACTGTGATGGATGCCATAAAAGCAGCTGAAGGAGTGAGAATGAGAGTTACAGAACATGGACTGTGGTCAGGTGCTGTGAATTTAAATCCAGTCTACCAGAGACTACAGTGGGCAGCAGCTTGTGTCTGTGTTGCTGCCTCCTTGCTCCCACCATTTATCTGCTTTGTGGCCTCCCATAAAACACTTAGAGCGTGGCAGCAGCCTTGGCCCTGCTTTGCAGCATCCATAGTTCAGGAAACAAGAGCCTACATTTAACTGTACAAGTGCAGCAGGATCTGGTATTGATGAAAAGTCACCCAGTATTATCAAAGAGAGAACTGCACAAGCTTCTGATGTCTTTATCAATTCCCAAAAAAGATTACCAAGTCTGGGCCACAACATGAAATCCTGTGAGGGCAGAAAAGCCCTCAGGTGCTCTGTACCCTGCACTGTTCTCTGGACTGCTTAAGGGGATACAGATGGAATGCAGCTTTGGGAAAGGACCAACACACACTTCCTCTCTTACCTGTAGATTTTTCGGTAGAACAAGTCACACCAATATATTCTGTTTGTTGACACCTCCACATCCAGTGCCACCACGTTCTTCAGCATGGGAATGATACGGGAATAGTCTCTTTTCACCAGGTCTATTTTACGGACCTCGTGGCGATTGGTGAAGATCAGGTACGGGCTCTTGCCTACCACAGAAAATCAGCACATTTGTCACTTCAGCAGCTGTCCCAAGGGCTGGGTTCAGCTTTCATTTCTCAAGCAACAGTGGAACTATCAGTCACTGATAGCTGTGTTTGTACAGAAGCTTTACACCACACTGGAACCAAGTGGAAACTTGCTCCAGAGGCAGGGCTGTCACATGCAGGCACCCCTGTGGTCCCTGGACACATTCTGGCACTGGCCTGTTCTGCTAAGCCGCAAGCAAAACTCTGGGGAATGGCCTCATCTTCAGTTCATTTCAGCAAAAAATCCTGGGCCAGATTTTAGTGACTTACAGCTGGGAGGGTGGAGGAGTGGCTCAGCTGCCCTGTTTTAATCAGGATGTTTTCTTTCTTTCAATACTAGTACCACTAAATGTTTTTGCTGCACTGTTTTCAATAACACCTGTCAAGAGACTTTCTTTTCTTGTTTCAGCTTCAAACAGCCAAGTAGTGACTGCAATCTTGCTCTGTACACTGTTAAAATATTCTGAGCTGCATGATCAGTAGTTCTTGCCTAGAGACGCATCTGCTGTTGCTGCAGCAGCTCTGTGCTGCTCGCAGTGAAATGTCTTTGCTTGCTTTGCGTGTTTCCTTTTGTTTCCGTTCCCCTGCCTCAGCCTCGCGAGCGTGTTTTCTTAGCGGAGTTGCGCTGTTGAGCAAGCAGTTTTAGTGCCTGTGGCATTGTCTTACCTACAGCTTTGCAGTTCTTGGACAGGGTGTCCATCTCGTATCCTTCGTAGCACTCACATTTGTAGTCCCCCTTGTAATTAATGCAGATCTGGCTACAAGCGTCTGGATTCTCACATTCATCTATGTCTGAAAGGAGTGTTTGAAACCCATCAATAACTTGAAATCAAACCATCTGTGATGGAGCAATGCTCAAGTGAATATAATCACGTCTCTCTATGGTGAAACACAAGGGACTGCTGTTTGCATGTCAATTACCTCCACACGTTTTTTTATCCAGAAGCTTGTATCCAGGCGGGCATTCACACTCGTAACCAATCTTCAAATCTTTGCATATGTGTGAGCAGCCACCGTTGTTCATCGAGCATTCATTGACACCTGCAGGGGATACACAGATCACCTATAACAAATGGGGGCCTTTAGTTGTGAGATTGAATAAAATTAAGAGATTTCCTCAGAAATTTTCCCATTTCTATCAGTTTTGGTACTGGCCCTATAGAGCACAAGTGCCTTCAGAGACAGGAAGCCTCCACTGTATCACTTTCTTGCTCTTTATTATTCCAAAGCAACGCTGAGGGATCATTTGGACTCAGAGCTAGTGGCTGAATGAATGGGGAGCCCTGGGGATACAGCATATGTGAGTCTCTCATCCCATCAGAGCTGCTGCTTTGAGCTGTTCTGCCACATGTGAGAAACTTCCAAGGGACCGAAGGGCTCTCTCCAGCATACTCCTCCTTCCCCATGCGCTGGTTCATGTTGACTTTTCTGAACAGTCTCTCTGAGCTTTAATAATTCATGTTGGGGGACTCTCATCTCCCAGGGGCCAGTTATTTTGAAATACTGTACTATTTTCCCATCTAGCTCCAAGGAACGATCTATGTGAAAAATTCCAGAAAACACTGAAGTGCAGTCTGTCAGAGATACTCCATTAGCAGAGATACAGTCCTCCCACAAACATGTCCCCCACAACAGTGTTTGCTGGCAGCCCCCAGTGTGCAATTTATGAAGCAACAGCCCCCAAACTCTCCTGGGGCCTTTTCTAATCCAAGGCCACCTCTCTGATCCTGCTTGCAAGTGCTGAAATCAAAAACAGAATAAATGGATCCTTGAGAGTAGAACTGAATGAGAGGCTGGGAAAAGCTGGTTTCCTGTCAGAGAAAACATTTCTTGTAACTGACCTACAAAAGGTGAAGAGAAAAGTTCTCTCTTTAAGGAAGACTGCTGAACAGGAGCTGTGAGATTTCAGGGATAGTGGACTCAACAGAACAAGGAAAACTGATTTGCTCCAGTCTATAATGCAATTTAAAGGCAAATTTTTCATTTATCTTTTACTTCTTGCTTCCTTGCACACTGCAGGTGAGCAGCACAGCAGAGCCATTAAACCATTGCTTTTGGAAGAAAATGGAAACAACTACAACCCAATTAAGTCAGTAAGACTGGGAAAACACCATGCCAGAAGGAATCCATCTCAGCTCTGGGATGCTTTTACCTTCCTAGCAGGTACATATAGAGATAGAATATATAATTAATGGAGCAAGTTCACCAGGCTCTGAGAAGGTGTCCACAGTCCCATTGTATGTTGTCACTGTTCAGTGACATTTATGGATGGAAATCTCCTATGCCTACACTTGCAGGGGTGTGTAGAAAATTGGGTCATCAGCATGCACAACTGCTCTCTGCAAAATACTGCAAAGGCTCTTTGATTAACAAGTAAAGTCTCACTCAGGTGATTCCCATGGTTTCAGAGGTGCTCTGTGGAATGGATTTAGGGGCTGTAAATCAAGTGCTGGTTCACTTGCTGCACTTCTCAAGAGCAGCTGAGGAGGAGCCAGGCAGAGCCAGGCAGGAGAACTGTGGCAGCTGCTGCTCTTCACTCAAACTTCAGCACTATATTCCCTGCCTGACTAAAATAGCCAAGTGTTGTCCTGCCTTCTGCAGTGCTTTTCTGGGGGACTCTCAGAGGGCACTGCAGAGTTTCACACAGGCAGAGAGACACACTGAGCTGGGGAGTGTGTCCTGCACCTCTGTCTCCTGTGGGGATTACCTGTGTGTGCGCATTACAGTCACAGCAACCCACAGCACTGCACCCTTTGAGGAAATGTCTTCCCCTGGGGACTCTTCTCTGCTTCCCAACTCCTCATTGCAGCCCAGGGCTGCACCAGTCATGGCACCACAACCACTGGCTTGAGCATCAGCCCAGCTGTGCCACTGCTCAGTCTCCTATGACAAACCAGGCTGCCAGCTTTGTTGGGAGACCTCCACAGACAGCTGCAACACCCACTCAGAGAAACAGGGAGATGTGGATTAGTGGAAGAAAGCAAGGGCACACTGGAAGCATGAGGTAGGAGCATCTTCACTAGGCATGCACACACTCTTCCTTGTCTAAAATGGGGAGTTCTTCCTGAACAGGAGTTATTTAAGAGGCAGCCACTGAGCTCCATGATGCCATGGAAAGAGTTGCCTGTTGGAGGCATCTCTGCTCTGGGGAAAACAAGAAATGTGTTTGAGTAGTGCTGCAGACCGGGCTGATGCCCACAATATCTGGTGAGAAAGGCAAGAGAAGGGCACAGCTCTGTGGCCTGGGCTCTGTTCCCTTGGCTCAAACAGCCCTGACTCTCCTGGCATTCCTACAGCCCAGAGCTGGCAGGACACTGCAGAGAGCAGCCTGCTGCATTGCTGAGGGAAGCAGCGCCAACGTGTACAACCCAGAAATGGCTGAAGTCCTCTCTCAGGGGCTGCTGCCACTCTACATGCTTTCACCTTCAAAGCATGTTCCCAGTGCTATATTTTTATGGTGTTATCATCATCTTAGAACTCAAGGGTAAGTTAGGCAATGAAGCTAAATAAACTGGTCTGTGTTGTGGAGGACACTAGTATTTGGGGAGAGGGGGAATTCCTCATCCCTAGTCCCGTGCTCAGTTCATACATCCCTTCAAGAATAAAAACTGAGTGGAGAAGGGCACAGTTCAATCTTACAGATGATCAGACTAAGCTAATTATATTCATATGAAGGGTGATGAGAGAATAAAGGCAAGGAAAGAGGAGCAGAGTGAGAAATAGCATTAGCAGCTACATGTGGTTACACTCAAAGCTGTGAGCACCAGATGGAGAAGAGGGGAAGCAGTTACAACAGGAGCAACACGTAGAAGGCAAGTACTGTACCACATTCTTTCAGAGGCTCGTCAGACCAGTCCCTGCAGTCTTTATGTGAATCGCACACTTTGCCTCCGTCAATGCACTCTCCACTCTTACACTGAAACTTGCTGGGACTTTCACATGCTGACTCTGTCATGTTGGGCAAGAGAGGAAAGCAACTGAAGTTAGATGAGGCTCGTGACAACAAACAGGCTGACATAAAGCTCAGGAGGGCATCATTAGCAGAAATGGGATGGGATTAAGCAAATGAACATTGAGCTTGAGCATCATGCAAAGAACTTTTCGAGTCATGCAGTCTGCCTGGTCAGCACAATCATCTCTCCCAAGCAATCCCACTGCCAGAATGGCTTAAAACTGTGCAGGAAGCAGCTTGGCACAGCCCAGAGGAGCAGCGGAGGCCTCTTCTCTTTGCAGAGGCCACACAGCCCTGGCAGCTTTACCCCATGGAGTACAAAGAGCACCTGTACCCACCTTGGACACAGCCAGCCTCGTCACTGTTGTCAGGACAGTCGTGCACCTTGTCACACTGCTTTGCTCCATGGATACAGGTCCCATTGCCACACTGAAATTCATCTGGCTGGCAGGTCACCAGAGCTTTAAGACAACACATTCAAGCATCAGCCACACAGAACTCAGTCACTTGTGTGCTACTTATCAGGCATGTCCCTCTGACACTGCTGGGGTTGCATCCTCTGTCAGCAAATGTCAGAGTATTGGCTGCTGCCATCAAAGCAAGTGAACCACTGTTCTCCTGTGTCCCTCTGCTGTCCCACATCACCTCTACATCCTTGGGAAAACAGCATCAAAGCCCATATGAGGACACCCAGTCAAACAGACCCAGTGCCGACAGTGAAGCTCCTCAGGTGACAGAACAAAGCAAGCAGGCAGCAGAACTCCCAGCAGTGGGGCAGCTCTGGGGGCTGCAGTCTCTGTGAGGCCAGCTGGAAGTGTCCAGTGACACTGGGTAGGCAAAGGCAATTGCTTCTCAGCTCTCCTTTTTTCAAAAAAAATTACATTTCAGATACATTTCAACACATGTTCAGGCTAAGGCCCAGGCAAGAGACCTGTAGTGACTCTGCCAAAGCAGCTTGGTCACAGCAGGGATGAAGGCAGCAATGAGACACAATCACCAGGCTACCAAATGCCCATGAGCCAACAGCCCACTGGAAGGCAGAAGAGCTCCACTGTACTGGGGTGTTTCTTGGGCTTTCCTGTCCTAAACACCTCTGCAATATCAGCCCAGTTTTCATGCCTGAAATTTATTTGTCAAGGTCAAATTATAACAGATTCAAACCAGACCTGATAAACAGCAAAGCTGGGGGAAAATATCAAACCAGACAGCTGCAGTGACCATGCTAAAAGCAGTCACATTTCCCTCTCCTAGTTACAATGAATGAGAGACCTCCCTAGCTGGGACCAACCCTGTGCTGACACAGGGTACAGGCTCCTCATTCCTGTGATGTATTTTGCAGCTTCCTTCTGAGGTGCCCATTGGATGTATTCTTAAAATCCTATTACAGCAGCACACCCTGGAAAGCTCCTGATTCCAGCCTTTCCATCGTGTGATTGTGTCCTGGTGTGGTCTGACAGTAAATCACTGCTTCTGAGCAGTGAGGGGAGGCCAACACTGGTGTTACTACATGGGAGGTGAGAGCTGTCTGCAGACTTCCCTGGACAATTTGACACACTGGTTCTAATATAAAAAATGACTACTTTCAGATAACCTAGGAAGAGCTGCAGACATGAAGTGGGCCAGCATCAATACCATAAAGTACCAGTTGCACAAAGATTCCACATTATTGGTGAGTGCATCCTGCAGGATGCAGGATCCAGGCTCATGACTGCTTCACTGGACTTAGTTCTAGTGCATCTTCAGCCAGCAAAAGGCACCAGAGACAGGAAAAGCCACAGCTGCAGGGCTGGTGGGAGAAGGAAGAAATCCTGTCATTAGAAATACCCAGTGTTCACATGAGGAAAGTTTGGAAATAGCGCTGCTCCTTGGAGAGAAAAGCCATATGCACTATATTCATAAAAAGCTGCAAAGTGAGAAAAAAAAAAAAACAAGCAATGAGCACAGTTATGGGACCAGCTGTGCTGCCATGTTTCAGCTAATAAACCCAGGCACAGGAATGGGAAACCTCAGTGAGACATCTGGGACAGCAGCTCCAAACTAAGCATGTGGGATCTGCTGCTCTACCAAATGCAGAAAAATGAAGGGGGGAAAGAAACAAAGCAGTGGTCAGGGAGAGTCACAGACCACAAGTCCGAAGTGGCACCAAAAACTCCTGCAGGGAGGCAGAGTCACTTCTGCTTAAACTGTTCCTGGCTTGTACAGCCACCTGCCTGGGGAAGCCCTGACCATGGAGAAAGCTCCCTCCTCCACAGGAAACCCTGACTTCTGCCAAGCTAAACCTTGGCCACTACAAGGCTTTTCCTATTACCTCACTGAAAATTCCTTTGCCACAATTATTTCTTGTCTTCATCCCTAACTTGAAAACCAGTTTGCTTCACATTTTCTGTAGTAACTTCTACGTGTGGAGGTAGGATGGGATGGTCCTCCATTTCTGACTGTAAATATTAACCCCTCACAAAAGTGTAATGTGCAATTAAAGCCAATGGGGTTTTGTCTTTTCTGGAGCAGAAACAGGTCTCCAGTTTATCAAGTAAATCTGCGTGACAACAGCTACAGATTTGGATGACAGCTGTTATAAAAGCTATAATTGTCTTCAATTTTAATCTTCAAAGCTCTTCTAAAAAGCAGTTATAGCTAAATGCTGAGAACAGAAAGGTTTTTAATCCTAAAACGAATTAAAATTAAGGAGAATTTTGTAGGAATTGCAAAGACAATGCACAAGCACCCCAAGACTGAGAGAAAAATGACAGCACAATTCTTAGCTCTGTTGCTACAGAGACTGCAAAACACAGATGTGGGGCTGTACTCCACTGCACAAAGCTTTGTTTCAAGAACAGACAGAAGTTTGGAGACCAGGCTGGGTTCCCTGGCTTACTTCTCACTCCACCAGAGCTGTGGAAGTTCAGATATTTGAGGAACAGTCTCTGAGCCTCTTAACAGACATCTAGAAAAGGCAGATACAATAACAGCTCTTACTGATTACAAAGGCATTAAAATGTATGTATGGTATTTCTATTTTTTGCTGCATTTTTCAGGAGAATTCCATGTTATCCTGAAGCTGAGACACTAAACCATTTCAGCCCCACAGGCAGAGCTGACAGCAGGTTCCCATTAAGGCCATTCCCAAGGCAAGGCAATAACCCAAGAAGAGGGAAGAGCTGTGCTGTTTATTTGCACAAGATGTTCAGAAAATTGCTGTGCCTAATTTGGAAGGTTTAAATCACTGAAATCTCAGTAGTTTTACAGCCATCTCCTCTGCAAATCAAATACAAAATAAATTACCAAAGCCCTGCTAAATTAACAGGCTCCCTGAAAGAGACACACTTCCCATTTACAAATCCTGAGCACAACGCTGCCTCTCTCAAACTCAGTAGGTATATTCCAGACTCCAAATCTGAGCCTCAGTTTCTTTTGGTTTCTGGGGTTTTTTTCCTTCCTCCCTAGAAGAAAAATTCCCAACATTTGCAAAATGCATCAATCCCATTTTATAGATGGGGAGACAGAGGCAGGAAAGTGTGAGGTCAGGTCTCAAGGGGTCTGTTTTCTTGCTGTCAGTGGTAAGCATTATTTATTCCTCCTCCTGGATGCCCTAATGCACATTGCAAAGGACGTTTTAAAATATAACCATTCCAGATTTGGAGACTAATAAATCTAACCTAATGTTCGTTTTATAAATATACATATATACATATTTGAATATATATGCTATGGAAAAAACCCCAGCCACCCAATGTTCTCAATGTTCTCCTGAAATAACTCATTCCCTCCTATTTATTTGCTGTCTCGCTGCCAAAACCTGTTCACCAATTGTCACCCTTCATTTCTGCTCTACTCATTTACCAATCCAAAATGTTTATAACAAATGATGGGTGATGGCCTCATGACTTTTTTTTAAAGCATTAGCTCCCATCCCTCTGTTTATACTGTACATACCCCATATGATCCCCATTTGCAAGAGAAGATGTAGTGGTGGGGTTGGTGGGGTCTGCAGTTTTAAGTCCAGCCAAGGGGCCCATGTGCCATCCCTGTTGCTAAGGGGACAGAGCTGTGTCACACACCTGTGGCTCTCTGCATGCCCCATGATCCTGATCTCAAACAGAGAATTTCTGGGGTGGAAAAGAATCATAAAAGCCCCTAAAGTCTTGAGTCTAACAGATGAGAAGTGATGCTGATTTTCCAGAGCTCCCAAATGTCCCTTTCTTACTGCAGACAGGTGCACCCCAGCAACAGCTGCATTTAGGATGGGGAAGGAACATTAATTTTGGCTCTGACCCAGCCAACAGGTCAGCTCCACGAGCACTCAGTGCTGCAAGGTCTCTCCTGGTTGCTGCTTCAGAGAATGCCATCCATGCAGTGTGAATGGCCACGGGCTCACACCCTGCTGTGGCCCTGAGGTGTAACCAGAACCAGGCACTCTGTGCAGAGGAGCACTGAGGCAGGTGAAACAATGGGGCTTTGAATCCCACTGTTTCCCAATCCACAGGACTAAAGGCAGCAGAATCAGCTCACATGCTTGTTTCTCCCAGGTAGAGAAACTGTACATCGTGTTGGACTGAGATTTTCTGGAAAGAAACCCTCATTGTGCTAAACCTCCAGTACTCAGAATTCTCTCAAGTCACTTCAGCCACATTTCCCCCTTTCTCCACTGGTTGTCAGCACCGTGCTGTGCTGCAGCGGTGTCCAGCTGCATCCTCTGCCCTGGGAGCTGCCTCTGGTGCCTCTGGAAGTGCTGCTGGCTGAGGCTGCTCTGCAGCTCAGGAAGGCTGGTGGAGCTGTGCTCCTTCAGACCTCTCAGCTCGGCAGTCTGAGCTCAGCTGGACATGGCTGGTGCCTGTCACACCAAGGAAAGAAGCTGGGGAACAGTGAGCCCTCTGCCTCAGGAAGATTTGTGGGCACAGTCCTACTCTTCTCACCCAGCAGAATGTCAAAATAAATGGAGCCAGTAAAAGACTTAAAACATTTAAAGTTGAGCAGGGATTGAAATTTAAGAGGAATTTCATCAGAAAACACCATCAGTGAGCTGCTCCCCTCTTTCTCCACTTGGCAATAGAAGGGAGCTCACCTTTCCCTCTCCTGAGCTGTCCAAATTCAGTCATGCACTCTGGTTGCTGTCACTGCAGGGAAGGCATCCCGGGGGACAGAGATCAGTTTTGCTGGAGTCCCCTGTACCAGACACCAGTTCTTCACCTTTGTTTGTAACATGGCCCTTGCCATTGCCTCCTGCTTTGGAGGGGACACAGGTACAGGACTGCCCACGGGAGGTCTCAGAATGGAAACAGGTACAAACCACTCAGGCTGCCCAAGCCAGCAGTGCCCATCTCCAGCAGCTGTGCTTCTGCATGGCTGTCTTTAAATTGAGCCAGGAACCAACTTTGTCTCCTGACCCAACAGTCCCCGTGATCCTTCAGACCCCGACACTACTGCCTGGGCACCTTCTGTCCAAGAGCTCTGTCAGCAACTTGACCACTTTGGAGATGAAGGAAAAACCAGCCTACCTAATCCACCCCTCCTTGGGAGGGGTTGACAGCCTTGTACACAGCAGCCAAAGCTTCTCTCTTCATAACAAAACATTTTTGGCTTCTGTTCAACTCTTGCCCCTCTTAAGAGTCCTTGGCTATTTTAAAGGCACAGCAGCTCCAGGGTAACCTGTGGCTCATCCCCCTGCTCTCCTGCAGTGCAAGCAGTGGTGTCCAGGATTCACTACATCCTCCTCCTGTTAAAGAACCCTCTGAATACACCTGCTTCTCTGCCTGGAAGAAAGTCTGATCCCCAGCTCCTTAAAGGCTCTCCCACACAGCTGCTCACCAGCCTGGCCTTGATGTTGTCATGGGTATAAAAAGATGGTGTTGGCAAAAGTGATAAATTTCCTTAGGCACCTTGCAAAAATCCCTGGGTTTGCAGCTGGTTGCTGCCTTCCTCCCCAGAGGTGGCCCAATGTCAGAGCTGCTAAATATAAACAGCTATGTAAATATTTAATTTCAATCTTGTCATTATGAATACTCTAGCAAAACATTTTGCTCTTGTTTTCTTTCCCTCCTCAGGTAAGTGACCAGCTTGAACAGCTTAGTGGCTAAGAATGGATGAAACATTCAAAATACCACACATACCAACACCAGCATGTTAAATGCATAAAGCCCGCTGAAAAGAAATCCATTATTTATTAGCTCTGTGCCTTTATCAAGCCAAGCTCAAAGTGCATTTCAAACTGGATTCTTCAGAGGTACTTCTCTTGACTGCCTTGTTCAGTATACTCCAACTTCAGAGGTAGAAAATGAATTTTTTTTTTTCTGTTGATCATATATTCCCTTTAGCATAGCAGCTTCTAACCCCCAGGCTGTGACCCCATCATGCAGCCTGAGGGCTTTGAACATTTTTCCCATTTTTCACTCCTTGTCTTTCTAGTGAAACAGATCTCTTCTGAGGCATGGTACCATCTTACACCTCCTCTATGGATTCTCAAGGAAAAAGCACAGCAGGAGCGTGGAACACACCTGACCCTGCTGGGCTGAGCACCCAGCCATGTCATGTGGGACACAAGCGCTCCTTGTCTGGCACAGCTGCTGCTCACACATCAAAGCCTTGTCTTCAAACACCGCCCACAGCAGCCTCCTGGCCCTTGCACCCCTGCCCCCAGACACTCACGGCAGTCCTGCTCATCAGACTTGTCCTTGCAGTCCTCGTCGCCGTCACACTTCCAGTTGAGGTGGATGCATTCGCCGTTCCCGCACTGGAACTCGTGGGCCGCGCACGTGTTGAGGGCCTTGGTGTCGTAGCCGCACTTCTCCATGGACTCGTCGGACTGATCCTCGCAGTCGGGCTGGTTGTCGCACACCCACAGCTCCGGGATGCACACGCTGTTGTTGCACTGGAACTCGTTGGGGTTGCAGGTCAGAGGGGAACACTTCCTTTCATCGCTGCCGTCCCCGCAGTCATTGTCACCGTCGCACACGAAGATGATGGAGATGCACGACTTGTTACTGCACTGGAACTCGTTGGGAGAACAAGCTTGGGAATAAAAACAAACAGGTGAGCTGGAAGGTCTCCAACCCAGCCCTCACCACTGCCCTAGCACATCAGGGATGTCTGAGGGCACAGGCACAAAGGCATTACCACGGCTGTCCTACCCCAAATCATTTCTCCCAGTGGTTATGTGTGGCAAGGAGCGGTAAGGCCAGTGGTCCTCAGCTGTGGCTCAGGATGTATCCTCTAGGGACCAGGGGCAGTCCTGGAGAAGGAGGGGCAGCAGGGCTGGGGGAGCCGTGGGTGGGGGAAGCGGGGGCAGCGCTGCCCTGGCACTGAGGAGCAGCCACATGAACCCCAGAGCCGGGTGAACCCTGGGTGGGAGCAGCAGCACAAAAATGGAATGGGAATGGGAATGGGAGTGGGAATGGGAATGGGCAGGAGGTTGCAGGGATGGGCTGGGACTGTGCTGGCAGCGCCGGGCTCCACTCGGCTCCATGCTGACATTACCAGCTTCCTGACTTTCATAAGCACAGAATCAGGTTTCAGGATTTCACAGTATGCCTGGTTTTGGACATATTAAGTGGGATGTGTAGGGTAAATATTTAGTGAGTCGAGCATCAATTTAGCTGCAATCTGCCAGTAAGGCCCTTTACAACACGCTGAATGCCTTCCCTGGAAATCACAACTCAACATTAACATACAAATGAGGCGCTTGTCAGATAGAAGCTGAGTGGAGCACTCTCCTCTGCAAGCCTAATGGACAGCTGAACCAGAGATGCCTGCTCAAATTAAAACTTCCAGGTACTCCAACAAAGTGCAGTTCACAGTCACTTTATTCCATCAAAGTGTGGGGGAACCAAAACCATGGAAGAAATTCTCCGTAAGTACTTTGAGGTAGTACCCTACAAAAGAATTCTTCTGCAATTTCAGCCCTCTACAGGGAAGTTATGGCTTTGATAAATTACAAGTACAAGAAATAGAAATGCATATAAATTACAATAATATTTTTTTTTTTTTTTTACATTGCACTTGGGAATCTTTTTGTCTTCAGAAGCAGAATTACTTACTGCCATTTCTGCAAAGTCCCTACACTAGACCACACAATTTAGATGGTACCAATCACTGCAATGATAATTGCACCTGGAAAGCAGCAGAATCCCTATAAAGGACCTGTCATATCCCAGATTTCAGCCAGTGACAGGAACCCAGCAGGATTCTCCTGCAATATTATGTCTGGTTTATACCTAGGAATAAAGCTGTATTTATCCAGCATTTAAGAACATGTCCATTGGCACAGATGCCTAATTACATTCTGTCTGGCAAACTTGCTGGGCTCTGTCTGATAACCTAAGTAGCCTCTCATTTTACATCAGAACATTAATATATATACACACACACCTCTCCTCTCCTGCCCTGTGCTCTGTCCTATTTAGTCCCAGATTTTCCAAATGTTAGAACACACCAATCCACCTAATTAGAAGAGAAAGAGGATTGCCTTCCTTGCTTGCAAAGCTACCATGCACTAGCCAGGACCCAGGCTCCCTCCAGGAGGGAGAAACTGAAGAGAATCTCAGCTGCCCCACTTGACACCAATCAGAGAAAACAACAGAGAGAGGCACCAAAGGAGCTGCTCGGGCTCCTTCTGCACTTGGTAGAGTATTTTAGGTACTGAGATGTCCTTAACCCGTCCCTTGGAACAGCCAGAGTTTCTCCTCTCCAAACAGATGGAATTGAGATCAGACAACTAATACTAGGAGATGAATCCTTCTCATAAGGACCTGAATCATAAGTTGCATAGGTGGAGAAGCATCTGAAAACTTTAATCTTTTGCATGTCAAAACTGAGGCCATTAAAATGCTCTGAATATCACCCAAATTCTGCTCTTTATCTCCATTCAGCAGATCTTTCTATCCTTACCCCATAACTTGAAATCATCTATTAATATTAACCCTACTGGATCAGTACACAGATATATAACTTAACACTGGCTTCAGAGGAGCTGTTATATGGAACTGCATATGGAACATTCCTCCATAAAGTGGAAATTCAAGGTAACAGTTACAATCTTACCCATCTATTTTAAAATGGTAATGGAAAATCAGGAATATTTCTATGGCTATGTACAGCTTCTATAACAGATAAAGGCTGAGAAGAAGAAACTGCTTTTCTGGCATTATTTTGATGAATCTCAGAAACAGATCAGAGAGCAAAATCTTGCATAGTTCTTTGATCCCTAATGTTTGGGCAAGATTGTAATGATTTGCACATTCCAAATGTGCATAAATTTCCTTTCCACCAACTGTAATAAGCCTTTTTCCCCTTGTTGTTTTTGTGGTCCCACCTCCACCCCTCCCCTCCTGTTTGTACATATTTCCCTTCAGAAATTTGCTGCATTGGCAAATTAACAACTGATAAACATAGGAGTGGGATACAGACAATGGAAGTTTGCACAAAAGCTCCTCCTTTGCACCTACAAATCCCATTACAGATATAAAATTACTGATAATCACAGCCAGAAAGTAGAAGCAGTTCAGCTTTTGTAACCTCTCATGAGGACTTTCTCAGTGAAGCCTAAGAACTGCTAGCTAGAAAAATTGCATGGTCATGATTATTTAATTTCTTTTTAAAAATTAAGCTCAGTGTGATGCCAGCACTAGAGTCTACAAGCTCTCTCTCCACGAACAAGCACAGCAGTTTGGCTGTTGGGAACTGCCCTCTCCATCCCCACAGCCCTTAGTGGGGGATCAAGCAGTTCCTTCTGGGTCACACCTGTCTCCAGCAGAGAGCTCCATCCAGCCCTCCTGTGCGCTCTGCCGCTGCCGTGGGAGGGCAGACAGCATCCCAACACCCCTCAGCCTTCCCTCACCCTCCCAACAGCTGAAATCCTCAGGGTTTCATGCCAGGGTCAGGCTGAGGCTGCAGTTCCCAGCCCCAGGTGCCTGGGCAGAGCTGCTGTGGCACTGCCTGGCACTGCAGCCAGGAGCCCAATAAATAAACAAAGCACTACAATTATCTTACACAGCACCTGGGGAGATGGGCATGAGGCAGGAAAGCCCCAGGGACAGTTTGCTTCACATCCCCTTCCATAAATCTGTCAGGTTACCTCACAGCCCCATCACTACAGTATTTTGTTGCCTGCAGAGCATTTCAGTAAAAAATGTGCCAATAGTGATTAAATGATCACTGGGGTATCTTTTGACTTGAGCAATTTGTTTGCATTCTCCAGATTTGCTACCTGTCCTATTGTTGGCTGATTCACTCAAGACCAAGGAATCAAATAATAGTTTGCTTTCCTTAGCACAGAAGAAATTAATAAATCTTGTACTCTAAGGTGCAAAACCTACTTCAAACATGAGTGATCCCAATAGAAATCTTGGAAGTGTTTGTCAAGATGTGTTTAACCAACAGTCTTCAAAGCATAACTATAACACCAGTTTACTGTAGAGCACAGAAATGTGTAAAGGTTCTTCACAGTTTTAGGAAGTAAAATATCAACAAAAATGATTATGTAGATGTGATTTTGCCTATAGACAAAATACACCAGAGGTATTCTGCATTAATTTTTGCCCTGTGCTATGTGCCAATCTGTAGAGCACAACTGTCACAGTTTTTTCTCACAGCCTGCAGCTGCACTCTTGTCACTTCTCTTGAGGAGAGTGGAGCAGAAGCAGCCTTGGGATAGAGGAAGTTAAAAATAATAAAATAACAAAAGATCAGAGAGATTGCAGTTGTGGAGTTAGTGTTCCATTCCTGGCTGGTTCCATTTTGCCCAGAGCCAGGATTTAGCCAGAGGCTTTAGTGAGAGTCTGGTGCAGCAGGGACAATCTTAGCTCAGGCATGGCACCAAAAATTCAGATAACTCTGCCACATGCTTTTTAAGTGCTTTTAGAAAAAAGCAGAATGCTCTCAAGATGTAGAATTCTCTAAAAATACAGGGTGCTCATTAAAAACTGTCATTTCAACAAATATATATTTGAACATACCATTTCTACAATGGACAACTCTACCAAGTATGGATTGTCAAATCTGGATAAAATTGAAAAAATTAAATAAATGGTATGCCCATCACTACCAGGATCTGGGAATTATGTACAATGGATTATAACTGCTGTCATTGCTAATCTCTAATTAAAGATTTTATAGCTTTTCAGTAAGAATCAGGTATTTAATTTATCTCTCCTCCAAAAGAGCCATTTCCACTTGAAACTATGTGAATGGCTTAAAGAATGATAATTATTTGGTAAAATTTGTGGTAAAGTGGATAGCAGCAATTATCCACTGATGCTGAAGACAAGAGGATAAGATGAATTATTACACTGTATTTTTCTGACATTGTCCCCAGAACAACTTAAAAAATGTGTCTGAAAATTTATGTTTGTTTAAATCTGATAATGGATCTTCTAAAGCAGGCAAAAGATGATTTGTGCATACACCAACATTTACATCAGAGTGGAGAGATCTGCTGTTGATTCATGGCTGCTTCAACACCTGCAGGAGAGGCTGCTGGACTTGAGGAACCCTCCCAAACTCTGAGATTTAGGGTTTAAGTTCTGCAGGGCTGAGGGGTGAATTCCTGAGCTCCATCTGCCCAGGGTTTCTGTCCCAAGGGCAAGCCCAGCTCCCCCAGCCCACAGAAACCAATCTCTGAGCTGGGCCATGGATAAGGAGGTCACAGAGTGCAGACAGGGTAGATTATGTTGGAACTCCCAGTTACCAGCACTGTCAGCATATTAGTTTTGCTTAACTAGTATTTATTTTCAGGTTTAATTCTGTCTAAATTATTTATTTTGCCTGCAGTCAATTACTTACCAAATACCTGAATATTTCATACAGATCTTCTGTCAAATGCCAGTCTTTAAAGCATGGATTCGTGCCTGGAAGGACAAGTTTCCCATGGAAAGCTGCCCTCCAGGAAGGACAGCAAAAGAGATGGAGGTAAATGAAGATGACCTTGAAGCTCATCGCTCTGAAGAAATGACAGGCCTCCCATGGAGGGAATAATGCAGCGGAATTGCAGCCTCACTCCCACCAGTGGTTGTTGC